ACTATAGGATCTTGGATTATATTAATATTGTGATGTGGACGGAATTCTATTATCATGTTACAATAAAAAAACGAAATAATCTTGATAGAATTAATCTACATTTTCTTTAGATGTGTTCTTGAATGTATCCAACATTTAGTACTCATTGGTTTATACAAACCCAAGAGTGTTAATAGTTACCATGGTTGCTATGGAAACTATAATGTATCACAGAATGTATCTAAAATTTCTTGTGTGTTAAAGTCCTTGAGTCCAGATAAGTTTAATTGTTTTCAGAGAGCTGAAATTTTGCAAATGTTCAGTATTATTGCCCGATATACTCAGCTACTTATTACTAATAAAGTAAACATGGAAAATCACAAAGCCCATGGAAATCCACAAGATTGAACCTAGTGATTCTGCATGATACTGGCAGATCTCCATGGACATTTGTGCTTTTTAAGAAAATGGGTGAAGATGGTCCTAGCAACATAAGCCTACTTTCAACTTCGAAGTGCGTGGGGAGACTTGGTCTGCTTCGGGCTACGGCACCCTCCAAGGAAAATGGATCGTTTACATGCAGCAATGGACATTGTGAAGGCATTGAGCAAGGTCCAAGCCCGAGGGAATAAACTCATTTTGGTGTAACATCACATTGAACCTATGGACCCTGTTGAGCGCATGTTAATTTTTTCAGTATCATATATATCACATTAGCGCACACACAGAAGTTATGATGATAAAGGAAAATACCTGCGGCCGAGTTTATGGTTGTCAGTGTGCAATATGACCAGGACACGGACTATAAGCCCTTGTACTGTATGGAGGTCAGAGCCTGTCATTGTCCTGTCAGGTCTCGCCATCAATATGAAGAAGCCAAGGTAAATGGCAGCAGAGAGTTTGCTGGGAGTTGAGGGGTTTTAAAGAGCATTTACAAATGCAAAACCCACACATGCTGCCGTATCAGAGTCAGCTGTTCCAACATCACGTCTATGATGAGGCAGGACAGCGCAAGAGCGGAAGAATCAAGAGGGCGGTAAAGGCTTTACGCCATATCCAGCTAAAGAAGAAGTGCAAGGGGAACCCAGACCAGAAGAGAACCAAGGGGAACCAGACCAGATGAGTGACATGCGGAACCTAGGGACCAGCAGAGAGGCCAAGGGGACCAAGCCGAAGAGACCATGGGGAAACCAGGCCAGAAGCCGAACTATGGGAAAACAGACCAAGAAAGAGAGCAAGCGTAACCTAGACAGTAGAGAGCAAGTGGGAACCCAAGGCCGAATGAGACTCCAAGGGGATCCAGGCCAGAAGAGAACCAAGTGAACCCGGACCAGAAGAGAGCCAAGAGGAATCCCAGGCCAGAGGAGACTAAAGGGGAAATCCAGACCAGAATGATGGCCAAGGGGAACCCAGACCAGAAGAGAGCCAAGGGAACCAGGCCAGAAAAGATCCAAGCGGACCAAGACCAGAAGTGACCCAAGTGTGAACTGACCAGAAGAGACCCTAGGGGGTACCCAGACCAGAAGAGAGCCAAGAGGAACCAGGCCTAGAAGAGAGCAAGTGGAACCCAGACCAGAAGAGAGCATGGGGAACCCAGCCCAGAAGAGAGCAAGGAGAACCCAGACTAGAAGTGGGACCAAGATGAGCTGGGACCAGAGGAATACCCAGAGGTGGGGGGGGGGGGAAATTCATGCTTTAGAGAGCCAAGAGGCACCCAGACCATAGCAGGCCTTAGCTGAGGAGGACGTGGATTGTTCTCCAGAAGAAACTCTGTCAGTTCTGAAGGGCACCAAAGCTACACACTTATGATGCACGCTACAATGATCAAAATGTTTGTTTGGAAAAGCCCATGAGATACCTGACATTGAGCAGCAGTAACGTCTTGTCCAAATTTGTCCAAAAAGTGGGAGAATGGGGTTCGGATCCAGAGGGTAGTAACCTCTCTGCCAATGACCTCAAGCCTTTGGGAATAGCTGCATTCCAAAAGCTTGCTGCAGGAGTGTCGGCCGGTCTCTGCTTATGTGAGAACCAATTTCACTGAGGTGACATTGAAATGAAACCTGAACCCATCAACTCAAATATTATTGGCCATGTCCTCAGACTAAATCATACATGTTCTTTTCAAGAGTGTGGAAGGTTTCTGATGAACAAAATCTGGCTCAGGTCCTCTGAGCAATTATTGTCATCTCCATCTACTAATCTATTACAGTAGATGCCGGATTTGACATGATTTAAGATGATGTATAGTCGCTTATTCAGCATTTAATAATAAGGATGTCCTAAAGGTCTTCTCTTGGGAATAGATGTTGCTGTGCAGTGGTCCTACACTGCACTGAATATCTGTCCAGTCCACATTGTTATCTTTACAGCAAAGGAATATAAGATTTTTTGTTGTAAAAGAAGTATACAGTGGTCCGACAGGAAACTGAATATCTGTCCATACAAAAATGTTTGATTTTGTGTACCATTTATGTGCTTCACAGCAAAGATATTTTGATTTTTTGATGTGTAGAAATAAAAAATGTTAAGACAATTAGAATCTTCCCTTATGAATGCTTGGTATTTAATGTTTGTGGTAACATGAACACAACCTGTTGTTTATAACAGTGGGTGCCCCAACTTTTATCCAACCCGAGATATACTTTTACAGCCAAACCATTGAGCGTGATCTACCTATGTTTTTGTGTTTTCGATCCACATTTGGTCCAAATAAATGACGATAGAAGAATTCCTCAAGTAATGCCTGTTGTCTTTATTCACTATGTAGGCTCGTGGTCTGCGGGAATATATTGCCAAATTTTTGCAATTTTTTCTTTACTTATAGATGTGACTGGATTATTGTATGACAGGCCACACAGCTGTAACCTTTGGCAACTTGACCCAGGGTGTGGATATTAAAACAAGGTCTACTATTATGAAGTTGTATTGGATTTATGAATAGATTTGGAGTTTTAGAAGCCATATTTAGAAAAAAAAAAAATATTGAAGGACCATAATGAAAAAGTTTTGTATGTTGTTTGATTTAGGGTAAAACTGGGACGGAGGATTTCTTTCCGCTAACTTTGTGCAGCGCGTATGCAGCGCTTTTTTATGTTTTGATCTGTAATCTTTAATTATTCCACTGTGTTATATTGTGCAAGTTGAAATTCAGACATCACGCTAAACACAGCCATGTGGAATATGGAAATTAACCATTTTACCCCTGCTTTAATTGTATACTTTATCACCATTTTGTACATTTCTTAGATCTTGTCCCCATCCCACTCTAAAAATCTAACCTCCCAGAATTACATTAATGTAAATTGTGGAAGTGAAATTCTAAGTAATTACATTTAACTCCAATCATAATCCCAGCATTTATTTTAAGGCATAGTTGTAGCTGCTTTTATTAGGTGATGTTTTAGGGCATGTGCAGTATAGAAAGCCATTTGCCTGTTTATTGAAAAGCCATTGCATTCATCTCTGCGTCTAAGCTGCAAGGTCTGTCCAGAAAGAACTGTTTCTGTTCCGTAATATATCTCTGTTTGTTTCTTATAGATGCGATACTATACAATATGAGCATTAAAGGCCCATTTACACTTGTCGGTTCACTTTAACTGGACCAAGTCTGGTTCAGTGTAGGGAAAACGACAGCCACTATGGCCCGATGCAATTGACTTTTTTTGTTTTATAAATACATGTTGTTTCTCCCAATATGCTCCCAAACAACATGCGGTCTTCAAATAATTTTTAGAGCAAGGAACTAGTGAGATGTATTTATTACATCGTTTTTAGGGGGGTTTTTGTGGTGCACATTGTGAAGTGAATGATAATGAGAAATTCGATGGTAATGCTGAAAACTGTGCTAATTTTAGTCTGATAACGTCTGCATTGACCACCCCTGGCCTAAGATGTCAATTTTTTATGTTTTTCCATGAACCTTGCGTGTGCTTAATGTTGTTGCGTGTTGTTGTTGGCCCAGAAATTACATAGATATTAGTCATGAACTAAAATAAACTAGTCTGATTTATGGCCGTTATCAAAGTCACCAAAGATATGTTTTTCAACTGCCCTCCACCATAATGGTTAACTATAGGCTCTTGGATATATTAATATTGTGAAGTAGACGGCATTACAATAATCAATGATACAATAACAAAAACGAAAAAATCTTGATAGAAATAATCTCCAAATTCCTTTAGATGAGTTCTAGAATGTTAACCACATTCTAGAACTCATTGGGATTCTACAAACCCAAGAGTGTTACTAGGTTACCATGGTTGCTATGGAAACTATAATGTCATCACAGAATGTATCAAAATTTCTTGTGTGTTAAAGTCCTTGAGTCCAGATAAGTTCATTGTTCTTCAGAGAGCAGAAATTTTGCAAAAGTACAGTATTATTGCCACGATATACTCAGCTACTTATTACTAATCCAAGTAAACATGGAAAATCCAAAGCCCATGGAAATCCACAAGACTGACCTAGAGATTCTGCATGAACCGGCAGAACTCCATGGGACATTTGTGCTTTTTAATGAAATGGGAGAAGATGGTCCAGCACATAAGCCCACTTTCCACATCGAAGTGCGAGTGGGAGACTTGGTCGGCTTCGGCTCCGGCCCCACCAAGAAAAAGGCTCGATTACATGCAGCGAAGGACATTGTGAAGGCATTGAGCCAGGTCCCACCGCCCGAGGGAAAAACTCCATATTGGTGTAAACCTCACATTGAACCTATGGACCCTGTAGAGCGCAAGTACTTTTTTCATAACAAAAATCCCATTAGCGCACTCACAGAAGTACTGATGATAAAGAAACTACCTGCGGCCGAGTTTAAGGTTGTCAGTGTGCAATATGACCACGGCACGGACTATAAGCCTATGTACTGTATGGAGGTCAGAGCCGGTCAATTGTCCTGTCAGGTCTCGGCCATCAATAAGAAAGAAGCCAAGGTAATGGCAGCAGAGAGAATGCTGGAGATGATGGGTTTTAAAGAGCAATTACAAATGCAAAACCCACACATGCAGCCGTATCAGAGTCAGATGTTCCAACAACACGTCTATGAAGAGCAGGCAGCGCAGCAGCGGAAGCATCAAGAGGCCGTAAAGGCTTTACGCCATCTCCCAGCTAAAGAAGAGAGTCAAGGGAAACCCAGACCAGAAGAGAGCCAAGCGGAACCTAGACCAGAAGAGAGCCAAGGGGAACCCAAGCCAGAAGAGAACCAATGGGAACCCAGACCAGAAGAGAGCCAAGCGGAACCTAGACCAGAAGAGAGCCAAGGGGAACCCAAGCCCGAAGAGACCCAAGGGGAACCCAGACCAGAAGAGATCCAAGGGGAATCCAGACCAGACGAGAACCAAGGGGAACCCATGCCAGAAGAGAGTCAAGGGGAATCCAGACCAGAAGAGACCCAAGGGGAACCCAGACCAGAAGAGACCCAAGGGGAACCCAGACCAGAAGAGAGCCAAGAGGAACCCAGGCCAGAAGAGAGCCAAGTGGAACCCAGACCAGAAGAGAGCCAAGGGGAACCCAGCCCAGAAGAGAGCCAAGGAGAACCCCAAACCAGAAGAGACCCAAGGGGAAACCCATGCCAGAAGAGAGCCAAGGGGAACCCAGACAAAAAGAGGGCCAAGATGAGCTCGGACCAGAGGAAAACCCAGAGGAACTCATGCTCTTAGAGAGCCAAGAGGCACCCAAACCAAAGCAGGCCTTAGCTGAGGAGACAGTGGATAGTTCTCCAGAAGAAACTCAGTCAGTTCAGAAGGGCACCAAAGCTACACACCTTCTGACTGCAGCAATGATCAAAAAGTTGATTGGAAAAGCCCATGAGATCCCTGACATTGAGCAGCAGACACGTCTTGTCCAAATGCTCCAAAAAGTGGAGAATGGGGTTCGGATCCCAGAGGGTAGTAACCTCACAGCCAAAGACCTCAAAGCCATTGGGAAAGCTGCTGCCAAAAGCTTGCTGCAGGAGTGTGGCTCGGTCTTTGCTCTATGTGAGAACAATTTCACTGAGGAGACAATGAAACTGAACCTGAACCTCCAACTCACATATTTCTTGGCCCATCGTCCTCAGACTAAAACAACATGCTTCTTTTCAAGAGTGTGGAAGGTCTTCAGAAGAAACAAAATCAGCTCAGGACCTCTGAGCACTTATTTGTCATCTCCCATCTACTAATCTAATACAGTAGATGCCGGATATGACATGATTTAAGATGATGAAAAGTCTCTTAAACAGCATTTAAAAATAAGGATTTCCAAAGGTTTTCACTAGGACTAGATATGCGGTGCAGTGGTCCTACACTGCACTGAATATCTGTCCGTCCACAATGTTCATCTTTACAGCAAAGAATATAAGATTTTTTGTTGTAAAGAAGTAACAGTGGTCCTACAGTGAACTGAATATCTGTCCATACAAAATGTTTGAATTTGTGTACCTTTCATGTGCCTTCACAGCAAAGAATATTTGATTTTTTGATGTGAAGAAAAAAAAAAAGTAATAAAATTAGAATCTTCCCTAAATGAATGCTTGGAATTTAATGTTTGTGCGTAACATGAACACAAACCTGTTGTTTTAAACAGTGGGTGCCCACACTTTATCCAACCCGTCTACTTTTACAGCAACCATTGAGCCGTGATCTACCTCAATTTTAAAAGTAGATCTCGGGTGGATAAATGTGGGCAACCCACTGTTTAAAACAACAGGTTGTGTTCATGTTACGCACAAACATTAAATTCCAAGCATTCATTTAGGGAAGATTCTAATTGTATTACTTTTTTTTTTCTTCACATCAAAAAATCAAATATTCTTTGCTGTGAAGGCACATAAAGGTACACAAATTCAAACATTTTGTATGGACAGATATTCAGTTCACTGTAGGACCACTGTTACTTCTTTACAACAAAAAATCTTATATTCTTTGCTGTAAAGATGAACATTGTGGACGGACAGATATTCAGTGCAGTGTAGGACCACTGCACAGCACATCTAGTCCTAGTGAAGACCTTTGGAAATCCTTATTTTTAAATGCTGAGACTTTTCATCATCTTAAATCATGTCATATCCGGCATCTACTGTATTAGATTAGTAGATGGGAGATGACAAATAAGTGCTCAGAGGTCCTGAGCTGATTTTGTTTCTTCTGAAGACCTTCCACACTCTTGAAAAGAAGCATGTTGTTTTAGTCTGAGGACGATGGGCCAAGAAATATGTGAGTTGGAGGTTCAGGTTCAGTTTCATTGTCTCCTCAGTGAAATTGTTCTCACATAGAGCAGAGACCGAGCCACACTCCTGCAGCAAGCTTTTGGCAGCAGCTTTCCCAATGGCTTTGAGGTCTTTGGCTGTGAGGTTACTACCCTCTGGGATCCGAACCCCATTCTCCACTTTTTGGAGCATTTGGACAAGACGTGTCTGCTGCTCAATGTCAGGGATCTCATGGGCTTTTCCAATCAACTTTTTGATCATTGCTGCAGTCAGAAGGTGTGTAGCTTTGGTGCCCTTCTGAACTGACTGAGTTTCTTCTGGAGAACTATCCACAGTCTCCTCAGCTAAGGCCTGCTTTGGTCTGGGTGCCTCTTGGCTCTCTAAGAGCATGAGTTCCTCTGGGTTTTCCTCTGGTCCCAGCTCATCTTGGCCCTCTTCTTGTCTGGGTTCTCCTTGGCTCTCTTCTGGGCTGGGTTCCCCTTGGCTCTCTTCTGGTCTGGGTTCCACTTGGCTCTCTTCTGGCCTGGGTTCCTCTTGGCTCTCTTCTGGTCTGGGTTCCCCTTGGGTCTCTTCTGGTCTGGGTTCCCCTTGGGTCTCTTCTGGTCTGGGTTCCCCTTGGTTCTGTTCTGGCCTGGGTTCCCCTTGGCTCTCTTCTGGTCTGGGTTCCCCTTGGCCTTCTTCTGGTCTGGATTCCCCTTTAGTCTCCTCTGGCCTGGGTTCCTCTTGGCTCTCTTCTGGTCCGGGTTCCTCTTGGTTCTCTTCTGGCCTGGGATCCCCTTGGGTCTCTTCGGGCTTGGGTTCCCCTTGGCTCTCTTCTGGTCTAGGTTCCGCTTGGCTCTCTTCTGGTCTGGGTTCCCATTGGTTCTCTTCTGGCCTGGGTTCCCCTTGGGTCTCTTCTGGCTTGGGTTCCCCTTGGCTCTCTTCTGGTCTAGGTTCCGCTTGGCTCTCTTCTGGTCTGGGTTCCCCTTGGTTCTCTTCTGGTCTGAGTTCCCCTTGACTCTCTTCTTTAGCTGGGAGATGGCGTAAAGCCTTTACGCCCTCTTGATGCTTCCGCTGCTGCGCTGCCTGCTCTTCATAGACGTGTTGTTGGAACAGCTGACTCTGATACGGCTGCATGTGTGGGTTTTGCATTTGTAATTGCTCTTTAAAACCCATCATCTCCAGCATTCTCTCTGCTGCCATTACCTTGGCTTCTTTCTTATTGATGGCCGAGACCTGACAGGACAATTGACCGGCTCTGACCTCCATACAGTACATGGGCTTATAGTCCGTGCCGTGGTCATATTGCACACTGACAACCTTAAACTCGGCCGCAGGTAGTTTCTTTATCATCAGTACTTCTGTGAGTGCGCTAATGGGATTTTTGTTATGAAAAAAGTACTTGCGCTCTACAGGGTCCATAGGTTCAATGTGAGGTTTACACCAATATGGAGTTTTTCCCTCGGGCGGTGGGACCTGGCTCAATGCCTTCACAATGTCCTTTGCTGCATGTAATCGAGCCTTTTTCTTGGTGGGGCCGGAGCCGAAGCCGACCAAGTCTCCCACTCGCACTTCGATGTGGAAAGTAGGCTTATGTGCTGGACCATCTTCTCCCATTTCATTAAAAAGCACAAATGTCCCATGGAGTTCTGCCAGTTCATGCAGAATCTCTAGGTCAGTCTTGTGGATTTCCATGGGCTTTGGATTTTCCATGTTTACTTGGATTAGTAATAAGTAGCTGAGTATATCGTGGCAATAATACTGTACTTTTGCAAAATTTCTGCTCTCTGAAGAACAATTAACTTATCTGGACTCAAGGACTTTAACACACAAGAAATTTTGATACATTCTGTGATGACATTATAGTTTCCATAGCAACCATGGTAACCTAGTAACACTCTTGGGTTTGTAGAATCCCAATGAGTTCTAGAATGTGGTTAACATTCTAGAACTCATCTAAAGGAATTTGGAGATTATTTCTATCAAGATTTTTTCGTTTTTGTTATTGTATCATTGATTATTGTAATGCCGTCTACTTCACAATATTAATATATCCAAGAGCCTATAGTTAACCATTATGGTGGAGGGCAGTTGAAAAACATATCTTTGGTGACTTTGATAACGGCCATAAATCAGACTAGTTTATTTTAGTTCATGACTAATATCTATGTAATTTCTGGGCCAACAACAACACGCAAGGTTCAACATCTTCTTTGTCACTAGTTCATTTAAGCACTACTGTATATACTGTATTTTCTCATAAAAGGTGTGGAGGGCTGGACTTGATTCATGGAAAAAAATAAAAATTGATTTAATTTGAATATGTATTGTAGGCCAGGGTTGGTCAATGCAGACTGTTATCAGACTAAAATTAGCACAGTTTTCAGCATTACCATCGAATTTCTCAGTATCATTCACTTCACAATGTGCACCACAAAAACCCCCCTAAAAACGATGTAATAAATTCATCTCACTAGTTCCTTGCTCTAAAAATTATTTGAAGACCGCATGTTGTTGGGAGCATATTGGGAGAAACAACATGTATTTATAAAACAAAAAAAGTCAAATGCATCGGGCCATAGTGGCTGTCGTTTTCTCTAAACTGAACCAGACTTGGTCCAGTTAAAGTGAACCGACAAGTGTAAATGGGCCTTTAATGCTCATATTGTATAGTATCGCATCTATAAGAAACAAACAGAGATATATTACGGAACAGAACAGTTCTTTCTGGACAGACCTTGCAGCTTAGACGCAGAGATGAATGCAATGGTTTTTCAATAACAGGCAAATGGCTTCTATACTGCACATGCCCTAAAACATTCACCTAATAAAAGCAGCTACAACTATTGCCTTTAAATTGCATTACTTTTCTTAATGTATTCTGGGATTAGATTGGAGTTAAATGTAATCCGTCCACATGGCTTGAATTTCAACTTCCACAATTAAGATTACATATATTTTGACAGAAAGTATATTTTCAAAAACAGTAGAGTGCAAAGAAAACCAGAAGTGCACACAGGTTAAAGATTGATTTGAGAGTGGACTATAATGGGGACAAGAGCTTAGAGTTTGATACAATTTTGCTTATTACGCAGAAGCAACAAAAATGGTGATAAAGTATTCAATTAAAGCTGGGGTAATATTTGTTTTTTCCATTTTCTACTTTTTATGATTGCTGTGTTTGCGTGATGTCTGCTCCAAATAAAATAAAATAAACACATTACACAAATAATGGCTGCACAATATATCACAGTGGAATAATTAAAGAGTTGTCATGATCTAAACATAAAAATGCGCTGCATAACGCGCTGCACAAAGTTAGCGGGAAAGAATCCGACCCGGTCCCCAGTTTTACCCTAAAATCAAACAACATACAATACTTGTATTCATTATGGTCCTTCAATATTTACTATATATGGCTTCTAATAACTCAAAATCTATTCATAATCCAATAAACTTCATGAATAGTAGACCTTGTTTTATAGCCACACCCTGGGTCAAGTTGCCAAAGGGTACAGCTGTGGTGGCCTGTCATGACAATATCCAGTCACATCTATAAGTAAAAAAAAATTGCAAAAATTTTGGCATTTATTCCCGCAGAACACTAGCCTACATATGTGAATAAAGACAACATGGTCATTACTTGATGAATCTTCTATGCGTCATTATTTGGACCAAATGTGATCGAATCTCAAAATCTGAGGTAGATCACGGCTCAATGGTTGCTGTAAAAGTAGATCTCGGGTTGGATAAAGTGTGGGCACCCACTGTTTAAAACAACAGGTTGTGTTCATGTTACGCACAAACATTAAATTCCAAGCATTCATTTAGGGAAGATTCTAATTGTATTACTTTTTTTTTTCTTCACATCAAAAAATCAAATATTCTTTGCTGTGAAGGCACATAAAGGTACACAAATTCAAACATTTTGTATGGACAGATATTCAGTTCACTGTAGGACCACTGTTACTTCTTTACAACAAAAAATCTTATATTCTTTGCTGTAAAGATGAACATTGTGGACGGACAGATATTCAGTGCAGTGTAGGACCACTGCACAGCACATCTAGTCCTAGTGAAGACCTTTGGAAATCCTTATTTTTAAATGCTGTTTAAGAGACTTTTCATCATCTTAAATCATGTCATATCCGGCATCTACTGTATTAGATTAGTAGATGGGAGATGACAAATAAGTGCTCAGAGGTCCTGAGCTGATTTTGTTTCATCTGAAGACCTTCCACACTCTTGAAAAGAAGCATGTTGTTTTAGTCTGAGGACGATGGGCCAAGAAATATGTGAGTTGGAGGTTCAGGTTCAGTTTCATTGTCTCCTCAGTGAAATTGTTCTCACATAGAGCAGAGACCGAGCCACACTCCTGCAGCAAGCTTTTGGCAGCAGCTTTCCCAATGGCTTTGAGGTCTTTGGCTGTGAGGTTACTACCCTCTGGGATCCGAACCCCATTCTCCACTTTTTGGAGCATTTGGACAAGACGTGTCTGCTGCTCAATGTCAGGGATCTCATGGGCTTTTCCAATCAACTTTTTGATCATTGCTGCAGTCAGAAGGTGTGTAGCTTTGGTGCCCTTCTGAACTGACTGAGTTTCTTCTGGAGAACTATCCACAGTCTCCTCAGCTAAGGCCTGCTTTGGTCTGGGTGCCTCTTGGCTCTCTAAGAGCATGAGTTCCTCTGGGTTTTCCTCTGGTCCCAGCTCATCTTGGCCCTCTTCTTGTCTGGGTTCTCCTTGGCTCTCTTCTGGGCTGGGTTCCCCTTGGCTCTCTTCTGGTCTGGGTTCCACTTGGCTCTCTTCTGGCCTGGGTTCCTCTTGGCTCTCTTCTGGTCTGGGTTCCCCTTGGGTCTCTTCTGGTCTGGGTTCCCCTTGGGTCTCTTCTGGTCTGGGTTCCCCTTGGTTCTGTTCTGGCCTGGGTTCCCCTTGGCTCTCTTCTGGTCTGGGTTCCCCTTGGCCTTCTTCTGGTCTGGATTCCCCTTTAGTCTCCTCTGGCCTGGGTTCCTCTTGGCTCTCTTCTGGTCCGGGTTCCTCTTGGTTCTCTTCTGGCCTGGGATCCCCTTGGGTCTCTTCGGGCTTGGGTTCCCCTTGGCTCTCTTCTGGTCTAGGTTCCGCTTGGCTCTCTTCTGGTCTGGGTTCCCATTGGTTCTCTTCTGGCCTGGGTTCCCCTTGGGTCTCTTCTGGCTTGGGTTCCCCTTGGCTCTCTTCTGGTCTAGGTTCCGCTTGGCTCTCTTCTGGTCTGGGTTCCCCTTGGTTCTCTTCTGGTCTGGGTTCCCCTTGACTCTCTTCTTTAGCTGGGAGATGGCGTAAAGCCTTTACGCCCTCTTGATGCTTCCGCTGCTGCGCTGCCTGCTCTTCATAGACGTGTTGTTGGAACAGCTGACTCTGATACGGCTGCATGTGTGGGTTTTGCATTTGTAATTGCTCTTTAAAACCCATCATCTCCAGCATTCTCTCTGCTGCCATTACCTTGGCTTCTTTCTTATTGATGGCCGAGACCTGACAGGACAATTGACCGGCTCTGACCTCCATACAGTACATGGGCTTATAGTCCGTGCCGTGGTCATATTGCACACTGACAACCTTAAACTCGGCCGCAGGTAGTTTCTTTATCATCAGTACTTCTGTGAGTGCGCTAATGGGATTTTTGTTATGAAAAAAGTATTGCGCTCTACAGGGTCCATAGGTTCAATGTGAGGTTTACACCAATATGGAGTTTTTCCCTCGGGCGGTGGGACCTGGCTCAATGCCTTCACAATGTCCTTTGCTGCATGTAATCGAGCCTTTTTCTTGGTGGGGCCGGAGCCGAAGCCGACCAAGTCTCCCACTCGCACTTCGATGTGGAAAGTAGGCTTATGTGCTGGACCATCTTCTCCCATTTCATTAAAAAGCACAAATGTCCCATGGAGTTCTGCCAGTTCATGCAGAATCTCTAGGTCAGTCTTGTGGATTTCCATGGGCTTTGGATTTTCCATGTTTACTTGGATTAGTAATAAGTAGCTGAGTATATCGTGGCAATAATACTGTACTTTTGCAAAATTTCTGCTCTCTGAAGAACAATTAACTTATCTGGACTCAAGGACTTTAACACACAAGAAATTTTGATACATTCTGTGATGACATTATAGTTTCCATAGCAACCATGGTAACCTAGTAACACTCTTGGGTTTGTAGAATCCCAATGAGTTCTAGAATGTGGTTAACATTCTAGAACTCATCTAAAGGAATTTGGAGATTATTTCTATCAAGATTTTTTCGTTTTTGTTATTGTATCATTGATTATTGTAATGCCGTCTACTTCACAATATTAATATATCCAAGAGCCTATAGTTAACCATTATGGTGGAGGGCAGTTGAAAAACATATCTTTGGTGACTTTGATAACGGCCATAAATCAGACTAGTTTATTTTAGTTCATGACTAATATCTATGTAATTTCTGGGCCAACAACAACACGCAAGGTTCAACATCTTCTTTGTCACTAGTTCATTTAAGCACTACTGTATATACTGTATTTTCTCATAAAAGGTGTGGAGGGCTGGACTTGATTCATGGAAAAACATAAAAATTGATTTAATTTGAATATGTATTGTAGGCCAGGGGTGGTCAATGCAGACTGTTATCAGACTAAAATTAGCACAGTTTTCAGCATTACCATCGAATTTCTCATTATCATTCACTTCACAATGTGCACCACAAAAACCCCCCTAAAAACGATGTAATAAATACATCTCACTAGTTCCTTGCTCTAAAAATTATTTGAAGACCGCATGTTGTTGGGAGCATATTGGGAGAAACAACATGTATTTATAAAACAAAAAAAGTCAATTGCATCGGGCCATAGTGGCTGTCGTTTTCCCTACACTGAACCAGACTTGGTCCAGTTAAAGTGAACCGACAAGTGTAAATGGGCCTTTAATGCTCATATTGTATAGTATCGCATCTATAAGAAACAAACAGAGATATATTACGGAACAGAACAGTTCTTTCTGGACAGACCTTGCAGCTTAGACGCAGAGATGAATGCAATGGCTTTTCAATAACAGGCAAATGGCTTCTATACTGCACATGCCCTAAAACATTCACCTAATAAAAGCAGCTACAACTATTGCCTTAAAATTGCATTACTTTTCTTAATGTATTCTGGGATTAGATTGGAGTTAAATGTAATCCGTCCACATGGCTTGAATTTCAACTTCCACAATTAAGATTACATATATTTTGACAGAAAGTATATTTTCAAAAACAGTAGAGTGCAAAAAAAACCAGAAGTGCACACGGGTTAAAGATTGATTTGAGAGTGGACTATAATGGGGACAAGAGCTTAGAGTTTGATACAATTTTGCTCATTACGCAGAAGCAACAAAAATGGTGATAAAGTATTCAATTAAAGCTGGGGTAATATTTGTTTTTTCCATTTTCTACTTTTTATGATTGCTGTGTTTGCGTGATGTCTGCTCCAAATAAAATAAAATAAACACATTACACAAATAATGGCTGCGCAATATATCACAGTGGAATAATTAAAGAGTTGTCATGATCTAAACATAAAAATGCGCTGCACAACGCGCTGCACAAAGTTAGCGGGAAAGAATCCGACCCGGTCCCCAGTTTTACCCTAAAATCAAACAACATACAATACTTGTATTCATTATGGTCCTTCAATATTTACTATATATGGCTTCTAATAACTCAAAATCTATTCATAATCCAATAAACTTCATGAATGGTAGACCTTGTTTTATAGCCACAGCTGCCCTGGGTCAAGTTGACAAAGGGTACAGCTGTGGTGGCCTGTCATGACAATATCCAGTCACATCTATAAGTTAAAAAAAATTGCTAAAATTTTGGCATTTATTCCCGCAGAACACTAGCCTACATATATGAATAAAGACAACATGGTCATTACTTGATGAATCTTCTATGCGTCATTATTTGGACCAAATGTGATCGAATCTCAAAATCTGAGGTAGATCACGGCTCAATGGTTGCTGTAAAAGTAGATCTCGGGTTGGATAAAGTGTGGGCACCCACTGTTTAAAACAACAGGTTGTGTTCATGTTACGCACAAACATTAAATTCCAAGCATTCATTTAGGGAAGATTCTAATTTTATTACTTTTTTTTTTCTTCACATCAAAAAATCAAATATTCTTTGCTGTGAAGGCACATAAAGGTACACAAATTCAAACATTTTGTATGGACAGATATTCAGTTCACTGTAGGACCACTGTTACTTCTTTACAACAAAAAATCTTATATTCTTTGCTGTAAAGATGAACATTGTGGACGGACAGATATTCAGTGCAGTGTAGGACCACTGCACCGCATATCTAGTCCTAGTGAAAACCTTTGGAAATCCTTATTTTTAAATGCTGTTTAAGAGACTTTTCATCATCTTAAATCATGTCATATCCGGCATCTACTGTATTAGATTAGTAGATGGGAGATGACAAATAAGTGCTCAGAGGTCCTGAGCTGATTTTGTTTCTTCTGAAGACCTTCCACACTCTTGAAAAGAAGCATGTTGTTTTAGTCTGAGGACGATGGGCCAAGAAATATGTGAGTTGGAGGTTCAGGTTCAGTTTCATTGTCTCCTCAGTGAAATTGTTCTCACATAGAGCAGAGACCGAGCCACACTCCTGCAGCAAGCTTTTGGCAGCAGCTTTCCCAATGGCTTTGAGGTCTTTGGCTGTGAGGTTACTACCCTCTGGGATCCGAACCCCATTCTCCACTTTTTGGAGCATTTGGACAAGACGTGTCTGCTGCTCAATGTCAGGGATCTCATGGGCTTTTCCAATCAACTTTTTGATCATTGCTGCAGTCAGAAGGTGTGTAGCTTTGGTGCCCTTCTGAACTGACTGAGTTTCTTCTGGAGAACTATCCACAGTCTCCTCAGCTAAGGCCTGCTTTGGTCTGGGTGCCTCTTGGCTCTCTAAGAGCATGAGTTCCTCTGGGTTTTCCTCTGGTCCCAGCTCATCTTGGCCCTCTTCTTGTCTGGGTTCCCCTTGGCTCTCTTCTGGCATGGGTTCCCCTTGGGTCTCTTCTGGTTTGGGTTCTCCTTGGCTCTCTTCTGGGCTGGGTTCCCCTTGGTTCTCTTCTGGTCTGGATTCCCCTTGGATCTCTTCTGGTCTGGGTTCCCCTTGGTTCTGTTCTGGCCTGGGTTCCCCTTGGCTCTCTTCTGGTCTGGGTTCCCCTTGGCCTTCTTCTGGTCTGGATTCCCCTTTAGTCTCCTCTGGCCTGGGTTCCCCTTGGCTCTCTTCTGGCCTGTATTCCCCATGGCTCTCTTCTGGTCTGGGTTCCTCTTGGTTCTCTTCTGGCCTGGGTTCCCCTTGGGTCTCTTCTGGTCTGGGTTCCCCTTGGCCTTCTTCTGGTCTGGGTTCCCCTCGGGTCTCTTTTGGTCTGGATTACCCTTTAGTCTCCTCTGGCCTGGGTTCCTCTTGGTTCTCTTCTGGCCTGGGTTCCCCTTGGGTCTCTTCGGGCTTGGGTTCCCCTTGGCTCTCTTCTGGTCTAGGTTCTGCTTGGCTCTCTTCTGGTCTGGGTTCCCATTGGTTCTCTTCTGGCCTGGGTTCCCCTTGGGTCTCTTCTGGCTTGGGTTCCCCTTGGCTCTCTTCTGGTCTAGGTTCCGCTTGGCTCTCTTCTGGTCTGGGTTCCCCTTGGTTCTCTTCTGGTCTGGGTTCCCCTTGACTCTCTTCTTTAGCTGGGAGATGGCGTAAAGCCTTTACGGCCTCTTGATGCTTCCGCTGCTGCGCTGCCTGCTCTTCATAGACGTGTTGTTGGAACAGCTGACTCTGATACGGCTGCATGTGTGGGTTTTGCATTTGTAATTGCTCTTTAAAACCCATCATCTCCAGCATTCTCTCTGCTGCCATTACCTTGGCTTCTTTCTTATTGATGGCCGAGACCTGACAGGACAATTGACCGGCTCTGACCTCCATACAGTACATGGGCTTATAGTCCGTGCCGTGGTCATATTGCACACTGACAACCTTAAACTCGGCCGCAGGTAGTTTCTTTATCATCAGTACTTCTGTGAGTGCGCTAATGGGATTTTTGTTATGAAAAAAGTACTTGCGCTCTACAGGGTCCATAGGTTCAATGTGAGGTTTACACCAATATGGAGTTTTTCCCTCGGGCGGTGGGACCTGGCTCAATGCCTTCACAATGTCCTTCGCTGCATGTAATCGAGCCTTTTTCTTGGTGGGGCCGGAGCCGAAGCCGACCAAGTCTCCCACTCGCACTTCGATGTGGAAAGTAGGCTTATGTGCTGGACCATCTTCCCCATTTCATTAAAAAGCACAAATGTCCCATGGAGTTCTGCCAGTTCATGCAGAATCTCTAGGTCAGTCTTGTGGATTTCCATGGGCTTTGGATTTTCCATGTTTACTTGGATTAGTAATAAGTAGCTGAGTATATCGTGGCAATAATACTGTACTTTTGCAAAATTTCTGCTCTCTGAAGAACAATTAACTTATCTGGACTCAAGGACTTTAACACACAAGAAATTTTGATACATTCTGTGATGACATTAGAGTTTCCATAGCAACCATGGTAACCTAGTAACACTCTTGGGTTTGTAGAATCCCAATGAGTTCTAGAATGTGGTTAACATTCTAGAACTCATCTAAAGGAATTTGGAGATTATTTCTATCAAGATTTTTTTGTTTTTGTTATTGTATCATTGATTATTGTAATGCCGTCTACTTCACAATATTAATATATCCAAGAGCCTATAGTTAACCATTATGGTGGAGGGCAGTTGAAAAACATATCTTTGGTGACTTTGATAACGGCCATAAATCAGACTAGTTTATTTTAGTTCATGACTAATATCTATGTAATTTCTGGGCCAACAACAACACGCAAGGTTCAACATCTTCTTTGTCACTAGTTCATTTAAGCACTACTGTATATACTGTATTTTCTCATAAAAGGTGTAGAGGGCTGGACTTGATTCATGGAAAAAAATAAAAATTGATTTAATTTGAATATGTATTGTAGGCCAGGGGTGGTCAATGCAGACTGTTATCAGACTAAAATTAGCACAGTTTTCAGCATTACCATCGAATTTCTCATTATCATTCACTTCACAATGTGTACCACAAAAACCCCCCTAAAAACGATGTAATAAATACATCTCACTAGTTCCTTGCTCTAAAAATTATTTGAAGACCGCATGTTGTTGGGAGCATATTGGGAGAAACAACATGTATTTGGGCTTGTTCACACTAAAGGGCACAAAAGTGTGACAAAAGGCCAAAAATTTAATTTTAATAATCAGAAGATATTTTATGTTTTTCATGTTTCCAAGCACCTCCTCTGTTCATTAGAAGTTGCTAGAACATAACTGTTTTATACATTAGACAAGTTTCCTGTAGCAGCCCTGTTTATTTTATGTAACGGACGTGATGATTTGACGGAATGAGCTTTGTGGAAGTTTGATAGGTATTTTCAGATGTCCAAATTTCATTCAGAGATTCTATTTTTTTACACAAAGTAGATGCAAAGTGATACTTTCATATTGTCAAGTAATTAAATGTGAAAACAGACCAGATTTTTTTTTTCCTCAAGTTTAATTTTTAGAGAAAAGAGGACCGTCCTCATCACTTCCGTTATACATTTTTCAGGGGTCATTTAATTAATTAATTTTTTTTTTTTTTTTTTCGATTCCTTTTTATATCAAGTGATTCCCTTATGTTGTGTTAACCATGTAAATCTGTGGGATTTCATCTTCTGCTTTTTCAGACTGAGGACATTTTATTTTCTATGTAACTGGCGTCACAGTAGAATGGTCCAATCAGAGGCTCATTTAGTCGTTTAAAATGTTGCTAAACATTTTTATGTCAATCTTTCCTTTTGATTTTTTCCACACTATCTCTTCAATCTGTCTGTGTTTGAAATCTTTTTTTCCAATCTATGAAAGTAATTTTTGTTTTGAAGTTATAACCTTTTAAAGTCCAGATACTTCAATTGTCACTTTACTGTGAACGCACTCATTTATAAAACAAAAAAAGTCAAATGCATCGGGCCATAGTGGCTGTCGTTTTCCCTAAACTGAACCAGACTTGGTCCAGTTAAAGTGAACCGACAAGTGTAAATGGGCCTTTAATGCTCATAATGTATAGTATCGCATCTATAAGAAACAAACAGAGATATATTACGGAACAGAACAGTTCTTTCTGGACAGACCTTGCAGCTTAGACGCAGAGATGAATGCAATGGTTTTTCAATAACAGGCAAATGGCTTCTATACTGCACATGCCCTAAAACATTCACCTAATAAAAGCAGCTACAACTATTGCCTTTAAATTTCATTACTTTTCTTAATGTATTCTGGGATTAGATTGGAGTCAAATGTAATCCGTCCACATGGCTTGAATTTCAACTTCCACAATTAAGATTACATATATTTTGACAGAAAGTATATTTTCAAAAACAGTAGAGTGCAAAGAAAACCAGAAGTGCACACAGGTTAAAGATTGATTTGAGAGTGGACTATAATGGGGACAAGAGCTTAGAGTTTGATACAATTTTGCTTATTACGCAGAAGCAACAAAAATGGTGATAAAGTATTCAAATAAAGCTGGGGTAATATTTGTTTTTTCCATTTTCTACTTTTTATGATTGCTGTGTTTGCGTGATGTCTGCTCCAAATAAAATAAAATAAACACATTACACAAATAATGGCTGCACAATATATCACAGTGGAATAATTAAAGAGTTGTCATGATCTAAACATAAAAATGCGCTGCACAACGCGCTGCACAACGTGCACAAAGTAGCGGCACAAAGTTAGCGGGAAAGAATCCGACCCGGTCCCCAGTTTTACCCTAAAATCAAACAACATACAATACTTGTATTCATTATGGTCCTTCAATATTTACTATATATGGCTTCTAATAACTCAAAATCTATTCATAATCCAATAAACTTCATTAATGGTAGACCTTGTTTTATAGCCACAGCTGCCCTGGGTCAAGTTGACAAAGGGTACAGCTGTGGTGGCCTGTCATGACAATATCCAGTCACATCTATAAGTTAAAAAAAATTGCTAAAATTTTGGCATTTATTCCCGCAGAACACTAGCCTACATATGTGAATAAAGACAACATGGTCATTACTTGATGAATCTTCTATGCGTCATTATTTGGACCAAATGTGATCGAATCTTAAAATCTGAGGTAGATCACGGCTCAATGGTTGCTGTAAAAGTAGATCTCGGGTTGGATAAAGTGTGGGCACCCACTGTTAAAAACAACAGGTTGTGTTCATGTTACGCACAGACATTAAATTCCAAGCATTCATTTAGGGAAGATTCTAATTTTATTACTTTTTTTTTTCTTCACATCAAAAAATCAAATATTCTTTGCTGTGAAGGCACATAAAGGTACACAAATTCAAACATTTTGTATGGACAGATATTCAGTTCACTGTAGGACCACTGTTACTTCTTTACAACAAAAAATCTTATATTCTTTGCTGTAAAGATGAACATTGTGGACGGACAGATATTCAGTGCAGTGTAGGACCACTGCACCGCATATCTAGTCCTAGTGAAGACCTTTGGAAATCCTTATTTTTAAATGCTGTTTAAGAGACTTTTCATCATCTTAAATCATGTCATATCCGGCATCTACTGTATTAGATTAGTAGATGGGAGATGACAAATAAGTGCTCAGAGGTCCTGAGCTGATTTTGTTTCTTCTGAAGACCTTCCACACTCTTGAAAAGAAGCATGTTGTTTTAGTCTGAGGACGATGGGCCAAGAAATATGTGAGTTGGAGGTTCAGGTTCAGTTTCATTGTCTCCTCAGTGAAATTGTTCTCACATAGAGCAGAGACCGAGCCACACTCCTGCAGCAAGCTTTTGGCAGCAGCTTTCCCAATGGCTTTGAGGTCTTTGGCTGTGAGGTTACTACCCTCTGGGATCCGAACCCCATTCTCCACTTTTTGGAGCATTTGGACAAGACGTGTCTGCTGCTCAATGTCAGGGATCTCATGGGCTTTTCCAATCAACTTTTTGATCATTGCTGCAGTCAGAAGGTGTGTAGCTTTGGTGCCCTTCTGAACTGACTGAGTTTCTTCTGGAGAACTATCCACAGTCTCCTCAGCTAAGGCCTGCTTTGGTCTGGGTGCCTCTTGGCTCTCTAAGAGCATGAGTTCCTCTGGGTTTTCCTCTGGTCCCAGCTCATCTTGGCCCTCTTCTTGTCTGGGTTCCCCTTGGCTCTCTTCTGGCATGGGTTCCCCTTGGGTCTCTTCTGGTTTGGGTTCTCCTTGGCTCTCTTCTGGGCTGGGTTCCCCTTGGTTCTCTTCTGGTCTGGATTCCCCTTGGATCTCTTCTGGTCTGGGTTCCCCTTGGTTCTGTTCTGGCCTGGGTTCCCCTTGGCTCTCTTCTGGTCTGGGTTCCCCTTGGCCTTCTTCTGGTCTGGATTCCCCTTTAGTCTCCTCTGGCCTGGGTTCCTCTTGGCTCTCTTCTGGCCTGAATTCCCCATGGCTCTCTTCTGGTCTGGGTTCCTCTTGGTTCTCTTCTGGTCTGGGTTCCCCTTGGCTCTCTTCTGGTCTGGGTTCCCCTTGGCCTTCTTCTGGTCTGGGTTCCCCTCGGGTCTCTTTTGGTCTGGATTCCCCTTTAGTCTCCTCTGGCCTGGGTTCCTCTTGGCTCTCTTCTGGCCTGGATTCCCCATGGCTCTCTTCTGGTCCGGGTTCCTCTTGGCTCTCTTCTGGTCTGGGTTCCCCTTGGTTCTCTTCTGGTCTGGGTTTCCCTTGACTCTCTTCTTTAGCTGGGAGATGGCGTAAAGCCTTTACGGCCTCTTGATGCTTCCGCTGCTGCGCTGCCTGCTCTTCATAGACGTGTTGTTGGAACAGCTGACTCTGATACGGCTGCATGTGTGGGTTTTGCATTTGTAATTGCTCTTTAAAACCCATCATCTCCAGCATTCTCTCTGCTGCCATTACCTTGGCTTCTTTCTTATTGATGGCCGAGACCTGACAGGACAATTGACCGGCTCTGACCTCCATACAGTACATGGGCTTATAGTCCGTGCCGTGGTCATATTGCACACTGACAACCTTAAACTCGGCCGCAGGTAGTTTCTTTATCATCAGTACTTCTGTGAGTGCGCTAATGGGATTTTTGTTATGAAAAAAGTACTTGCGCTCTACAGGGTCCATAGGTTCAATGTGAGGTTTACACCAATATGGAGTTTTTCCCTCGGGCGGTGGGACCTGGCTCAATGCCTTCACAATGTCCTTCGCTGCATGTAATCGAGCCTTTTTCTTGGTGGGGCCGGAGCCGAAGCCGACCAAGTCTCCCACTCGCACTTCGATGTGGAAAGTAGGCTTATGTGCTGGACCATCTTCTCCCATTTCATTAAAAAGCACAAATGTCCCATGGAGTTCTGCCAGTTCATGCAGAATCTCTAGGTCAGTCTTGTGGATTTCCATGGGCTTTGGATTTTCCATGTTTACTTGGATTAGTAATAAGTAGCTGAGTATATCGTGGCAATAATACTGTACTTTTGCAAAATTTCTGCTCTCTGAAGAACAATTAACTTATCTGGACTCAAGGACTTTAACACACAAGAAATTTTGATACATTCTGTGATGACATTATAGTTTCCATAGCAACCATGGTAACCTAGTAACACTCTTGGGTTTGTAGAATCCCAATGAGTTCTAGAATGTGGTTAACATTCTAGAACTCATCTAAAGGAATTTGGAGATTATTTCTATCAAGATTTTTTCGTTTTTGTTATTGTATCATTGATTATTGTAATGCCGTCTACTTCACAATATTAAAGCTGCACTAACTGACTTTGGGATTTTGAAGCCGCGGACCCGCTGGCCTCTCTCTTTCTGCTCCCCTCCCCGCACCCACGAAGCTATCGCCCCCCACACACACTCACTGTTGGGACGGAGCTAGTGTCTCCCAATATGGATAATACATGAATATGGATTTGCACGTGGATGGCGTGACCATAAAACGATAGAACCGGGAAGCGCGGAGGAACGGGACTTTCTTTTGGATGGCTGTTTCGCTAAGTAAGCAGTAACCGGTGATGAAGACACGAAGCTTCAGGTTAGCTCCTCGGCTTGTTGTACTAACTCAGCTGTCTGTGCTAACGGACCTGTAGATTTCTCACGAAAGTGGGGGCTATTGGTCCGCTGTGATTGGTCACAATCTGCGACCCGAAACACATTCTCTTCCTTGTTTCATCAAAACTCGATCTAAAATATAATGTCACGCCAGCACAAATCTGCGCTAATTATTCTTCAAAAGGACGTATATCCCAATGCACTACATGGACATGGAGAGCATTTTCGTAATGAATACGAAAATAAAGTCAGTTAGTGCAGCTTTAATATATCCAAGAGCCTATAGTTAACCATTATGGTGGAGGGCAGTTGAAAAACATATCTTTGGTGACTTTGATAACGGCCATAAATCAGACTAGTTTATTTTAGTTCATGACTAATATCTATGTAATTTCTGGGCCAACAACAACACGCAAGGTTCAACATCTTCTTTGCCACTAGTTCATTTAAGCACTACTGTATATACTGTATTTTCTCATAAAAGGTGTGGAGGGCTGGACTTGATTCATGGAAAAAAATAAAAATTGATTTAATTTGGATATGTATTGTAGGCCAGGGGTGGTCAATGCAGACTGTTATCAGACTAAAATTAGCACAGTTTTCAGCATTACCATCGAATTTCTCATTATCATTCACTTCACAATGTGCACCACAAAAACCCCCCTAAAAACGATGTAATAAATACATCTCACTAGTTCCTTGCTCTAAAAATTATTTGAAGACCGCATGTTGTTGGGAGCATATTGGGAGAAACAACATGTATTTATAAAACAAAAAAAAGTCAAATGCATCGGGCCATAGTGGCTGTCGTTTTCCCTAAACTGAACCAGACTTGGTCCAGTTAAAGTGAACCGACAAGTGTAAATGGGCCTTTAATGCTCATAATGTATAGTATCGCATCTATAAGAAACAAACAGAGATATATTACGGAACAGAACAGTTCTTTCTGGACAGACCTTGCAGCTTAGACGCAGAGATGAATGCAATGGCTTTTCAATAACAGGCAAATGGCTTCTATACTGCACATGCCCTAAAACATTCACCTAATAAAAGCAGCTACAACTATTGCCTTTAAATTGCATTACTTTTCTTAATGTATTCTGGGATTAGATTGGAGTTAAATGTAATCCGTCCACATGGCTTGAATTTCAACTTCCACAATTAAGATTACATATATTTTGACAGAAAGTATATTTTCAAAAACAGTAGAGTGCAAAGAAAACCAGAAGTGCACACGGGTTAAAGATTGATTTGAGAGTGGACTATAATGGGGACAAGAGCTTAGAGTTTGATACAATTTTGCTTATTACGCAGAAGCAACAAAAATGGTGATAAAGTATTCAATTAAAGCTGGGGTAATATTTGTTTTTTCCATTTTCTACTTTTTATGATTGCTGTGTTTGCGTGATGTCTGCTCCAAATAAAATAAAATAAACACATTACACAAATAATGGCTGCACAATATATCACAGTGGAATAATTAAAGAGTTGTCATGATCTAAACATAAAAATGCGCTGCACAAAGTTAGCGGGAAAGAATCCGACCCGGTCCCCAGTTTTACCCTAAAATCAAACAACATACAATACTTGTATTCATTATGGTCCTTCAATATTTACTATACATGGCTTCTAATAACTCAAAATCTATTCATAATCCAATAAACTTCATGAATGGTAGACCTTGTTTTATAGCCACAGCTGCCCTGGGTCAAGTTGACAAAGGGTACAGCTGTGGTGGCCTGTCATGACAATATCCAGTCACATCTATAAGTTAAAAAAAATTGCTAAAATTTTGGCATTTATTCCCGCAGAACACTAGCCTACATATATGAATAAAGACAACATGGTCATTACTTGATGAATCTTCTATGCGTCATTATTTGGACCAAATGTGATCGAATCTCAAAATCTGAGGTAGATCACGGCTCAATGGTTGCTGTAAAAGTAGATCTCGGGTTGGATAAAGTGTGGGCACCCACTGTTTAAAACAACAGGTTGTGTTCATGTTACGCACAAACATTAAATTCCAAGCATTCATTTAGGGAAGATTCTAATTTTATTACTTTTTTTTTTCATCACATCAAAAAATCAAATATTCTTTGCTGTGAAGGCACATAAAGGTACACAAATTCAAACATTTTGTATGGACAGATATTCAGTTCACTGTAGGACCACTGTTACTTCTTTACAACAAAAAATCTTATATTCTTTGCTGTAAAGATGAACATTGTGGACGGACAGATATTCAGTGCAGTGTAGGACCACTGCACCGCATATCTAGTCCTAGTGAAGACCTTTGGAAATCCTTATTTTTAAATGCTGTTTAAGAGACTTTTCATCATCTTAAATCATGTCATATCCGGCATCTACTGTATTAGATTAGTAGATGGGAGATGACAAATAAGTGCTCAGAGGTCCTGAGCTGATTTTGTTTCTTCTGAAGACCTTCCACACTCTTGAAAAGAAGCATGTTGTTTTAGTCTGAGGACGATGGGCCAAGAAATATGTGAGTTGGAGGTTCAGGTTCAGTTTCATTGTCTCCTCAGTGAAATTGTTCTCACATAGAGCAGAGACCGAGCCACACTCCTGCAGCAAGCTTTTGGCAGCAGCTTTCCCAATGGCTTTGAGGTCTTTGGCTGTGAGGTCACTACCCTCTGGGATCCGAACCCCATTCTCCACTTTTTGGAGCATTTGGACAAGACGTGTCTGCTGCTCAATGTCAGGGATCTCATGGGCTTTTCCAATCAACTTTTTGATCATTGCTGCAGTCAGAAGGTGTGTAACTTTGGTGCCCTTCTGAACTGACTGAGTTTCTTCTGGAGAACTATCCACAGTCTCCTCAGCTAAGGCCTGCTTTGGTCTGGGTGCCTCTTGGCTCTCTAAGAGCATGAGTTCCTCTGGGTTTTCCTCTGGTCCCAGCTCATCTTGGCCCTCTTCTTGTCTGGGTTCCCCTTGGCTCTCTTCTGGCATGGGTTCCCCTTGGGTCTCTTCTGGTTTGGGTTCTCCTTGGCTCTCTTCTGGGCTGGGTTCCCCTTGGCTCTCTTCTGGTCTGGGTTCCACTTGTCTCTCTTCTGGCCTGGGTTCCTCTTGGCTCTCTTCTGGTCTGGGTTCCCCTTGGCTCTCTTCTGGTCTGGATTCCCCTTGACTCTCTTCTGGCATGGGTTCCCCTTGGATCTCTTCTGGTCTGGGTTCCCCTTGGTTCTCCTCTGGCCTGGGTTCCCCTTGGTTCTCCTCTGGCCTGGGTTCCCCTTGGCTCTCTTCTGGTCTGGGTTCCCCTTGGCCTTCTTCTGGTCTGGGTTCCCCTCGGGTCTCTTTTGGTCTGGATTCCCCTTTAGTCTCCTCTGGCCTGGGTTCCTCTTGGCTCTCTTCTGGCCTGAATTCCCCATGGCTCTCTTCTGGTCTGGGTTCCTCTTGGTTCTCTTCTGGCCTGGGTTCCCCTTGGCTCTCTTCTGGTCTGGGTTCCCCTTGGCCTTCTTCTGGTCTGGGTTCCCCTCGGGTCTCTTCTGGTCTGGATTCCCCTTTAGTCTCCTCTGGCCTGGGTTCCTCTTGGCTCTCTTCTGGCCTGGATTCCCCGTGGCTCTCTTCTGGTCTGGGTTCCTCTTGGTTCTCTTCTGGCCTGGGTTCCCCTTGGGTCTCTTCGGGCTTGGGTTCCCCTTGGCTCTCTTCTGGTCTAGGTTCCGCTTGGCTCTCTTCTGGTCTGGGTTCCCATTGGTTCTCTTCTGGCCTGGGTTCCCCTTGGCTCTCTTCTGGTCTAGGTTCCGCTTGGCTCTCTTCTGGTCTGGGTTCCCCTTGGTTCTCTTCTGGTCTGGGTTCCCCTTGACTCTCTTCTTTAGCTGGGAGATGGCGTAAAGCCTTTACGGCCTCTTGATGCTTCCGCTGCTGCGCTGCCTGCTTTTCATAGACGTGTTGTTGGAACAGATGACTCTTCTTGTCTGGGTTCCCCTTGGCTCTCTTCTGGCATGGGTTCTCCTTGGCTCTCTTCTGGGCTGGGTTCCTCTTGGCTCTCTTCTGGTCTGGGTTCCCCTTGGTTCTCTTCTGGTCTGGATTCCCCTTGACTCTCTTCTGGCATGGGTTCCCATTGGTTCTCTTCTGGCCTGGGTTCCCCTTGGCTCTCTTCTGGCCTGGGTTCCCCTTGGCTCTCTTCTGGCCTGGGTTCCCCTTGGCTCTCTTCTGGTCTAGGTTCCCCTTGGCTCTCTTCTGGTCTAGGTTCCGCTTGGCTCTCTTCTGGCCTGGGTTCCCATTGGTTCTCTTCTGGCCTGGGTTCCCCTTGGCTCTCTTCTGGCCTGGGTTCCCCTTGGCTCTCTTCTGGTCTAGGTTCCGCTTGGCTCTCTTCTGGTCTGGGTTCCCCTTGGCTCTCTTCTGGTCTGGGTTCCCCTTTTTGCAGTCCTGGGTTTTGCATTTGTAATTGCTCTTTAAAACCCATCATCTCCAGCATCCTCTATTATTACTATTCCTTTAAAGAGTTATCATGATCTAAACAGAAAAATGCTCAATAATTATGAAAATGAAATACTACATTATTTCAGTCTTCTCAGATTGTGTTCTTTCTTTTTGCAGTATTTTATAGTTACACACACAGATTTACAAATAAGATAAATGCACATTGCAGTCCATTCATAAATAAGTGTGCAGACTTTTTTCAGTTGTGTTTTTTAAGATTTGCTTTATACACAATAGCTTATTTCCAAATATTTGAATTTGCACAGGATTAAGATGCCTGTGGAATGATGTTTATAATTGTAAGACACATTTACAGCTGCTGTGTACAGAGCAATAGTTTACATTTATAAAACTCTATCACTATTTCATCTTGTCTCCCACAAAATCCTGAAGCAACGACTACAAGCTGGGTGTCAAAAGTCCAGTCTTGTCGCTCCTGTGTGAAAAATATCCCACTGATCACATTCCCATTAAACCAATAAACACAAATAAATTACACTTTTCTTTTTACATTTACATGCACGCGTATGACACATGTCACTGAACGCCTCATTTATTTCCATTACTGCTTTAATAAGAACGCATACGTGATCAGTTTATGGAAATTGCGCATTTCCTCGACTCTTAAGTATGAATATGTATTTGTTTATTGTCAGTGTTGATGCCTGTGGTTGTGGCCCCTCATTCAGTGTTATACATAAGTAATGGATGATTCACGGTTTATGTTTTATTCAAAGACTTTCAGATCCAGTGCTGAGGATAGAAACGTAGTGCTGCTTCAGTACGAGACCTGGTGATGTCACAGATGGGTCAGAGAAAGATGCAAAGAATGTAATAAGTTATCAATTGATTGTTGATGGCGTAAAAAATAGGAACTAGTGTTGTCAAAATATCAAAAATCAGATATTAGTCAATACGAAAACTAGTATTAAAACTACATACTAATTTTAGAAAGGGTGGATACTGAAGAGAAAAAAAAATCACAAACAGGAAAAATGTGATTCTCTGGGAACTTTTTGAATGATGTTGATCTCTGAAATAGTGCACAAGCTTGTAGTACCATTAAAAATAACTATATGGTGTGAGTTTGCTAAAAAAAAATGATCAGTGTCACAAATTGACTTTTTTTGTTTCAGAATCGAGTTTGGAATTATAATATCCTGACAACACTATTAAAATCTCAACTAAAGGGCAGCTAAAACTCTCCTCTTCCTCTAAGTATACAACTCATTTCGAGTTTGCTTGGATTTTTTTTATTTTTTTTATCTTGGCTTAGATTTGATGAATGAATGTCTTCTTAAAACAAATATAACTAGGGCTTTTAACTTGGTAAAGTAGTTACCACTTTGGTAACTATACTTTACCAAGTAGTTTTTTAGAGACGCCTGATTTATTTTTTGTGCCAAATAAATAAAGTTTCACCCCTTTTTGAGCAAATACTTTCAATTATAGATTAAGATTAAGAGATCCTTTATTCGTCCCACAGCGGGGAAATTTCAGTGTTGCATCACATGTTACAGAACAGTAGGATTGGGAAGCACAGCACAAGATGCATGAATAATAACTACTATCTATAATAGTAATATCTACAACTTTAGCAAGACTTAAGTACCAAAACCCCTGACTTTAGCATAATAAGGAGCGCGCATTATGTACTGCCAAAAACTATACACGTTGAAGATTGTAGCTAGAGGAATGCAAATTCTTTAACAAATTCTCAAAACATAGAAACTCATTTTTGCAAATCAACTCTTCCTATATGAATGTAATTTAGGGGTTGAATCGAGCTACATAAACTATGGCGTATGTGGTATTTGTCTTGTACAGTAGCTAAGCACACAGTTGCAGTAAACTAACATTCTCTCCGGCTCTTGCAGCAGCCGTAGTTTCGCAGTCCTCTCCCACACTTAATGGACACAGATGCCCATATATTTCCATTGAGACTGAGTACAGCTCATTACACTCTCAATAAAGGGGCTCTTTGAGGTTGTTCAATTACATTATGTTAAAGTCTTGTGGTAATTTTCTCAACAAAATGAGCATCTATTTCTGTCTCTGGCTCTTCTGCATGTTGATCACAGCAGGAAAAGGAGCAGGTGTCACCGCCGCACAGCTCTTGGTTAAACACAGGATTAACATGTGTGTGTGCAATGAGGACGTGCGTTTTGCCCTCACCGAGTTTGTCCATTCTGGAGTCAGGGTTACAAGTCAATGGAGCGTTTTATGTTCAATCTATGCTTTATCATCTTTGGAACTCTTTTGAAGAATTCCCCAGTGGGATGTAAGCGAATGCAGACCAGGGGTGTCCAAACCTTTTAGTACGAGGGCCACTTTAGTTAACAAGTTTTTCTTATAACAAGTTTTATTGCCACTTTTTTATTGTACGTAACTATATCCTGCACAGACTACTGTATATTTTTAACCTTTAACATGTTTGCACACCTCTGTTTTTTGCCAAATGAGACATGTACATTTCTCCAGTGTGAGATCAATAAAGTCTATCTTATCTTATCTTAAGTGTGGAATCTGACCTGCATACATTGGATCTCTGTTATAATATTAGTGATAATAATACATTTTATTAAAAAGCGGCTTTCAAAACTCCCAAGGACACTGCACAAACATGGTTAAAAACAGGGTGCAATTTAAAAACATTAGCATTGTTAAAAAAAACAACAGAACAGGACAAAGGTGTTGGGGTGACTGGTCATGTGGGGAAAGAAAGTCTGAAAAGCTGAGTTTTGAGTCTGGATTTGAACAGGGGGAGAGAGTCGGTGTTGTGGAGGTCAGGGGGGAGTAATATCTGTATTACTGCAAAACATTATTATCTCAAGAACTGAACGTATTTGTTCTGACCCACATTGTTACCCGTATCAGCGTCATTAATATCTCGAGGATGATCTGTTCTTGTGCACATTTATATGAATAATATAAAAAGCTTTTGTCTTCTTCTGTTCCATCTGTAAGTTCTCAAAAATAAACTGGGTTACAGCTGCGTGAGATCGCTGGTGCCTTTTGTCTCATGGCCTGGATTTGGCCTGTTTTAAACTTCATAATTAGCTATGATGGAGTTGAAGTTGGCTGACTGACAAATGACCATATCACCAGCGTTATTATTGCAATCAATGGAATATACAACATTCCATATAGACACAAATAAAGCCATTACCTGAATGCCAGAGCTCCTGCTCTTTACAATGAGGTATAGCAGGCATGTAGTGGCTGAGCTGAAGGTGGCTGGATGACACTGTGAACTAGTGTTTATGATCTCAAAGACTATTTAGGTTTACAAGGCAGAGGACTACATAACACAGACACAGAGGGCAGCAGAGGGTAGTTTGGACATGCCTGGTGTAGACCTATTTTAGTAGTTTTTGGGCTTCTTTCTTGGCCCCAGTGAAAATGTTGAAACAGCAGCTCTTGATGTTTTAATGAGATCACTCAATGTGTCTTTTGTGTCTAATTATGCAGCTTTCCATTATTCAAGAACCCAAAGGTGCACCGCTTGTGATTATGTCTTTTTGATCAGGCCAAAGTTGTGTAAAGAACGTTCTTTTCGACTAACTAAAGCGTGCCCCAATCTTTTTGAGCCGTGGCCATAGACTGTCGCAGTGGCATAACACGACAACAATCACATGGCACAAAATCACACAAGCTTTTTTCCTTTTTTTTATTTATGGATTGATTGATTTATTTACCCTTTATACTCAGCTAAACATTATACTATAAAATGCACTGTCAGTTTGGAGACGAATTGGGGGAGGTGGGTGGTATGGGGAGGGGGGTTGGAAGACTGAAAAAAACAAAAAAACCACACAGATTGTACTTGTTGTCAATAACTGTCATTAACTACATTTAATTGCGTGTAAATAATAATATATAAACAGTATTTGTTGTTTGGTGTTCCTTTGCAAATGATCCAATAAAAAGCCACAGCCCACTGGTTGAAAATTGTTTGAAAATATGATACCATGATAAAATGAAGTGGAAATCTGGGTACACGTCCCTTTAAAGCTAAGGCACCTGACTTTCAAATATGTTTTTCATTACAGAGTCAGAACAACAAAATGTAGTTTAGAATCTAACCAGAAGTGCAACAGTATGCAAGTATAGGGTAAAATATACAACATAGACAACTATATAATGCATGTCATTTGAAAAATATTTAACTTGATTCTATGTGTCACTCTGCACCATACAAAGAGATAATTCGTTATAAAAAGTTGTGTGCCACGGCTTTGATATCGTCCATTCTCTGGGCCTAACTTCACCACAGACCCTTCTCATGTCCTCTACTCTCAATATGAGCTCCTCCCATCAGGACGCCGCTGCTGAGTACCAACTAGAAATGAGAAACAATATCTAAACCAGTATAAGAACTCATTCCTACCCATATCTGTGAACCTCCTGAGTGCAGTCCATCGAGCAGAGTGGTGATGGTTTATGTCGGTGTTACTGTTTTGTGTTTTTATGTCTGTCTTATGTGTATTTTCAATGTAGCAGCCTGTGAGTCCAAGACAAATTTCCTACGGGACATAATAAATTAATCTTGAATCTTGAAACTTGGGACGTGGTGCAGAAATTGAACAAAACAAATCCTCCACAAACTACACAAACAACCCACCTTCCACCACTCTTCGTTGGAATCGTCCGTGACCTGCACTCGATCCCCGGGACTGAAACAGAGACAGAGGAGCAAAGATGAAACCGCAACTTTGAGGAGAGCACAGCCTGTAATTGAAGAAGACAGTGGGGTGGTGTGACCGCGGATGACGGGTGAAGCGTTCAAAAAGCAAAAAGAAAAGAGTGCAGTGAGTGGCAGCACAAAGACAACATTATCAAACTGTCAGAGGCAAAATTTTGTACACATGGGAAAAGATGGAGGAAACTCATGACATCCTCTATAACAGCTCACACCGAGACTGATAGACCTGCGCTGTTTGCCAAGCTGCATTCTAATGATGGCACTTTTAAAACTCGCACATACTGTCCTAGATACAGAGGAGGAGGAGGCGATCTGTCCCAGTTGTGCTCATTTCTGTACATCGCACCCAAAGGGAATCAGCGCTCCTTATCACTCTTATGTTAGCAGATAATGTTTCGCAAACCACAAATACTTTCTTGTGGTTTGTGTATGTTAAGAAAATGTTGATCTTTCATTCAGTGTTTGGCATAGTTTACACCCTTTTTGTCATTGTTCTCTGTGGTTTTGTTTCAGTTTTACTCTTGTCCTGTTCCCTGTGGATTGTCTTTCCCGCCCTGATGTGTTTTACCTGTGTCTGTCTATATGTATCCTGTGTTCATCTCCCCTTGTTGCTGGTCCATTGTATTGTCAATGTCTGTCCATATCCGTTTTGTACTGTTCCTGGTTCCTTTGGATTTTTTCCACCTGGACTTTTATTTCATTAATATCAAACCATTCCTGCATTTTGAATCCTCCCTGCATCTCACCTCATGAGTCATGCCACTTTGAGTTATCTTCTCAACTTGTTCCAATAATGTCGAATGTGACCATCCCAGGAAAATATACAATATATAATGGACATGACAGTTTTTACATCTACATACATTTTGGGATGGTAATTTATGCTGGTTCTGAGAAAAATATATTTTTTGTGATTATTCCAGCTCTGTTCTGATTGCATTTGTCAGCCAGTGTGAGCCAGATGTCCTTTTGTGTGTATCAGTCTACAACCAATGAGATGAAATAGTGAGACCAGTCCACAGTGCCAAGACTGTGGTAACATGATGCAATATTTGAATTTTAAGAGCCCTTGCTGGATACAACAGAAAAGTCATTTACACTCGCAATTTAGAGCCATCTGTGCATTTTTCGGTAGTTTAAATGATCCTGAATTCAACACTCTATTGCTCTAACCCTTTTACCAAGGGTGAATTTAACAAATTAGATCTAAATCTAGTTTAAAACAGGACTAATCCAGACTTCAGGCTGTGCACTGAGCTGCCTTCCTGTTATACAAACAGCAGCACATTAACCTCATTGACTCTCGGCCAATATTGACTAATCCTGACACAAAATCCAATTTAATTTCTACTGCATTTCTACATTGAACCCAATCTTCTCCTAATGATTTAATTCATCATTGATTATCTGTTTAATTAAAAATACTTTGAGTCAAGTGAATAATTAATATCCTGAGTGGTTTTTAAAGTTGTACTTGAGATTAAATAGGATGAATGAGATTAGCTCAAAAAGCCTCTCCCTAAAGCCGTGGTTTGTGAAGAGAGAGGGAGTTAGTCAGGTCCTCATATTTCCAGGAAAAAAAAGTATATTAAAATAGGTAGGTGATAGTCCTGAAAATGATGTCTTACACATCATCAATAAATTGGTAAATTGTGTTAATTTGATTTATTTTTGAGCATGTTTCTTGTATCCAAAGGAACTTTCTGTAAACTGGGCAAAGGTAGATCTGAGTACACAATGGGCCGTGTATTTGTACTTCTTCAGTTGACGATAATCCTAGTATTATGTGTAATTTGAGAAAGTGTTGGTGTAGTCTAGGGATACGATACTGGTATTGGATATGAATTCCGATGTTAGAAATTTGGTCAGACCAGTTACAGGTATTGGTTTGATTTGTTTGTTTGGTTTGAGTTTCAACCTTTAGCCATATAAAGTTTCTGTGCCTTGTAGGATAAATAAAACACAATTGAACCCATTTTGGAACATGCTTGCTGTGACTTGAGAGGGGGAGGAAAAAAACCCTGATATTCAGTACTTTCATCTATATCAGTTCATATCAGGAATCTGCAGATAATGAAAGTGAAAGTATTGTACGGATGAATGAACACTTCATTTCGAGCCATGGCAGACAAGAACAAATAACAACAACCAAATTGATCCTTCAATTTCTGCTCTTTCTATCATTGTGAAGCAGAATTCACCAAGCGTTGGATAGTTCACCCACTAATAGGGAACGTGAGCTGGGTTTAGACCATCGTGAGACAGGTCAGTTTTACCCAATACTGATGATGTGTTGTTGCAATAGTAATTCAATATTGCAACATAACATATTAGTAATAGCAATAGTAATTGTATCAGTATCAGTATCAAGCATCAAAAACCTGGATTGGTGCATCCCTAATCAAGTCTACAACAATTGACATATGCCAACATCGATAATGACATTAAGTAAGTAAGTAATGTTTATTTATATACCGCCTTTCACAGACCATTGTTATTTCTGCATTATTGCTGCATCAATACAAGAGGGAGGGGGGTATTGTAATTGTTTGATCCATTGTTGAAGAATCGAAGAAGACAATTGCTGCTTTGATTTAGGGCTGTACAAAAATAAATGGAATTGAGTTGAATTTATCGCCTTCGATGGGATGAGATGGTGGGAATACTCCATTAACATTTCAAGATGATCGGATTGGTGGTGTTGGTGGGGTATGTGCTCTCCGAGTGCACATTCTACAGCGTGTACAGTATTTATTACCAGGCTCCTGTTTGGGGTCAATATGAACAATTACTCAGCAGCACTAGAGTTTCTCCGAATAGATTTTACTCTTAATTACTTTCTTGGACCACTTTGCACTTTGATGTGAGTGCAATACATTTTAAACAATGATTTTTGCTGAAACACGATTACGGGGAGAGAATGTATTTAATTGGGGTTCAAAGGGAGATTAAATGAAAAACATATATCCAAATAGATCTGATTAATTCTTTTATTTCCACGAGCCCTGTTTATGATTCCCCTTGCAAACCTCATGCTGAGACACGGTGAATCATAGCCGTGTTTACGGCTGCGTGGTGTTGCATACAAATAAACCGGAGCAATCTGCAAAAATAAATGAGTTCTTTTTGTAATTTGCCATAAACTTTAATATTGAGCAAATATCAGATCAGATTCATTTATTTGCCATTTGCAGTAAAACCACATTGGAAAAACTGTGCAAGACTACCCCGGTGTGCACCAGACAGAGAAGACGACACACACCAGAGCTCTTGCCACGGCGCCATCTTTACGGCGCCATGCGACAAACAGTAGAATAAACAGCAGAGAGCAATAACATACAGTTTCACAGACAGTTGGATAGACACACTGTGCTTTGTATAAAGCACGGATTTATTTAGGACCTCATTAGACTGATATGATTGAGTCTAGGAAAGTTTGTTGATGTAATTAAACAACACAAGATAATTATCCTGTCGTTGATTCTGAAGATATTATTTAAGAAATGAAGTCCTCTGGGAACACACAATCTAATGATCCAAAATATGTCTTTGAATATTGTGATTCATTTGGCCTTTTTTAATCAGCGTTGTTGATGAGAGCTATTCATATAACATCAACAGAACGCTCTGAGTAAGCGGACAACATGACCTCTTTTGCCTTTGAATCACTATTGTTCAATTTTGTTTATTCTGCATGGATGAGTCTTTTGAAAGGCAGAATTCGGTCAATTTATGGAGATTTGTTTTGACTATTTATGCAACGGTTACACACAAACAGTAAAAGATGACGTGGCTTTTTTTTCCTTTTTCCATGTACTGTATATGTTGGGGCGACAATGGCTCCGTTGGTAGAGCATTAGCCTTTGGGCCCAAAGTTCGTGGGTTCAACAAACAAACACATTTTGCAGGCCGCACATATCTTTTTAGAAAACATCTGATCATTTGTATACTTTAAGCAGGGTTCAGACTTGGCCAAGCAAAGCATTAGGTTTACATTAATGTCTATGGGGAGGCAAATCTCCTCTGCCAAATATACATGTGGCATGTGTCTCTACAGTGGAGGTTGAATCGCCGGAGTTGGACATTTCTCAACTTCTGCGGCAAATGTAATGTTCCTACGCCAACCAATCAGAGAGCAGCACCTCTGGTAGGTCAGGAGGAAGACAACTTTATCCAAAAACCGACCTAAACCAGGACTAATACTGTAGGGAAGGGTTTTTGTGACATAGACAGTATATAGATGGACAATGCTAACCCGGTAGCTGAATGAAACCCAACAGGAAAGTGCTCATTGATGAAGTTTTGCTACTACTCGCTCTGGCTCGTATTGACTCGTCGAGCTCAGTAACCGTTTGTGTCACATCACCATTTTGGGCTTAAATAACACATGCTTTAGAACTCTCTGTGATCCTGTTGTGTATATGTCTTAAAATGACTTTGTAAATCAACATAAGAGCCATATAAGAGGCGACCAATCAGATGCCTTCATTTGCAGGGAAAACTCCAGCTTGCCTTAGCAATCTCCTTGAACGTCCTTAAATGTCCCAGACAGACAGGTGATATATCCAGGATTGGTTTTGGCTTAATGCAAAAAAAATACTGGAACAAACAAGAACTAGGCGATTTACAACTTCAGATTTTATACGGGAGCAATTTTGTAACACGGTTTTCAAATCTTTTTGCATAATGGGTCCTGTAAAATCAATAACAAGCGCTATCGTTACAATCTCATCTTGTATTAATAAAGGTGAGAAGTGGATCTTTTTTGTCCACGTTGTATTGATAACACCGTGAACGTAGCCTCAGTAATTACCGGCCTGATTCATTGCGGAGGTTACGGACCATATTCAGGCCTCATTGTGATTAAAACCATCCAGCTGTTTGTCTCCTGTGAAAAATGACTTGGTTGAAAAGCCCAGACTGAGCTTCATTAGTAAACATATTGTGGCTGATTCAGACTCTGGGCAGATGGTGGAGAACAGACGCTGCTGATACCTGACAGACATGACCTACTAAACCTGGATCTCTCAGAAAATAAGAGAACAAACAAACACTAGGCAGGGGGACAATTATGGGGAATATACATCCAAGTCACAGCAGATATTTCATTATGTCATTATCATTACCATTTGAAATATAGATGATCCATAAATGACTTCACACAAACACTAACAGAGACTGATTTTTTTTTTCATTCATATACTCTGGCTGTGCATTTTCAAGCACCGCTGTATATGTATATTTGGTTTTCAATTATAGGATTATCAATGTAATCTTTAGTGTGACATTTTGGTACTACACTGAATTAAAATGTCTAGCAATCAAATCAGAGTAACAGCTTTTACTTGGAATACTACGGAAGCTTGTTAGGTTCACTTGTGAGTGTGTTTTTTTCCCGCTGGTATCATGTTATTTCATGATACTTTCATGAAATAACATGATAAATATCATGTTATTTCATGATACACAACTATCTTGTTATTTCATGATACACAACTATCATGTTATTTCATGCTACCAATTTATCATGTTATTTCATGATACCAATTTATCATGTTATTTCATGATACCAATTTATCATGTTATTTCATGATACCAATTTATCATGTTATTTCATGATACACAACTATCATGTTATTTCATGATACACAACTATCATGTTATTTCATGATACCAATTTATCATGTTATTTCATGATACACAACTATCATGTTATTTCATGATACACAACTATCATGTTATTTCATGATACCAATTTATCAGAAGCTGACAGCTTATTCTTCTCCTGTATCTACAGTATCATGTTATTTCATGATAAACTGGTATCATGAAATAACATGATAAATTGGTATCATGAAATAACATGATAAATTGGTATCATGAAATAACATGATAGTTGCGTATCATGAGATAACATGATAGTTGCGTATCATGAAATAACATGATAGTTGCGTATCATGAAATAACATGATACCAGCGGGGAAAAAAACACACTCACAAGTGAACCTAACAAGCTTCCGTAGAATACGATCATGTAGCTTTAGTTCAGAGTAAAAACGCGGAACCTTTTCCTCAGATTATTGCATTAAAGCTACACTGTATAGTTTTTACTCCCATCTAGCCTTGAGATCAGCTATTGTAATTTACGAAGGACAATATGTAGTCTTTGACAGTGGTCCCCAACACCCGGTCAAACCCCTTTTCGTCCCTTATCAACCACTGTATTTCAAGATGGCGCATTGACATATGAGTCCTCCAGCTCTCATGGACATTTATAAGTCAATTTCTAAGCCTATGAAAACAGTTTAAAAACATGGTGGAGGTAAATATTCTTAAAAAGGTCACATTTGTTATTGTTTAACATGTTTTTTTCATTTGGTGCAACTGTAAAAATGGCACAGAGTACCTTTAAAAGAATAAGGATGAACTTCAAATGACAGAAAAAATTAACAAATGCCTTTTGGGAATATAAATATATACAGTAGCTATACACGTGGAAGCATAAGTCTCAGGTTTTTGCAGCTCATTCTGGTCCGTGCACCTGTTCTCTAAGTATTCAAAAGTGCCGCGTTTCAGCTTTTCCTGAGCTGGACTTTGCTTAGAACAGCAACATTTGTAATGCATAAGGTTTCTGCGGCTTAAGATATCTGCTCCTGCTGTAGAAACTATATACAGTGAATACATAAAGTGCATTTGAAAGCGGTCAGTGGCAGTGGTTTAGTGTCAATGTTACGTTTATTTATTATATCCCTGGTGTTTTTAGGAAGTAAAGTCCTGATTTATTTATACAAATCTCTTTCTTTGTGTCTGTTTCTTTCTATTTTTTGAGCATGTTCATATAGAGAATATAAGACAGTGCACATAACACAAATGTTGCTAAAATATCTAATTATTTTGTCAAAATGTAATTATACAGGATTGCTTTTAGGATATTGTTGAAAAAAACAGTCAAGCAATATCTTTTTATTGGTTATAAAGGGAAACGATAATGTGTCGAATTTGTCATTTCTAAACCTTGAATGATGACAGATTTTCCTTCAACGACAAATTGCTACATTTGGAAAACAAATTATTCATTGACAAAACATGGTTATGTCATATGTTGTCTTGACAAATGCAATAATGTCATGATTCAGAATTCTAATTGAGCTGAAAATGACTGAATATTAGATCAACTGCATAATGAATACATGATGAGACGGTTGGTTGTAGATGATGGTTGGTTATAGGTTATATAGTGTGAATCCTTAACCAAACCGAAGGAGACGCCTGCTCTTTTTTGTGCCGATTGAGTTCTAACTGCCTGTCCTGTTCGATATAAGGACTGAAGATAACAGGATGTTGTTTTTCGCAACATTACAGCATCTTCCTTTGTAGTTTTCAGCCTCGTCACCTCAAATAACAGGAGTTTTTGGCACAAATTGGTCCACCTCCTCCCTGAACGCTCTGAACTGCTTCTTTCCCATCTGTGATATTACTTTGATCTGTTATGTCACAGGCAGAGGTGTTTTTCTCATTTTTAATGCAAAGGATATTTTTTTCTGCAGTCAAATTGCTTAGATTAGAACTTCATGCTGGGGTTAGATATGTTCATGTTTTAAATTATTAAAATTGGTATTGGTGTTGTAATGCCATCTGCCACCTGTAGAGGCCGGTGTTTCCTCCCTACAGGCCATCAGTAATTCAGCAGATGTTTACATACACAGACATGATATTAAACGCTAAAACCATGAAACCTGCTGACGGCACCCATAGTGTTTGACGAACGTGTAAAGAAGATGGTTTGAATACTTGGCGAGGTGGAACCAAACTAAATGACGGGTGACCTGTGCGCCATCGCAGGGGCAGGTGCAAACTAATATGTTGCTAAGGTGGTTGCTAAGACAAGCTGAGTTTACCACAATGAATTAAGGATTAGGCATTTGATTGGTTAATCCTTATAGTTCATATCTAAAAAAAAAACTATGGATTTTTGAAGGCCAAACTGTGTGACACATATGGTTACTGAGCCGTAGATTCCCCCCTACTCAATGGAGCCCAGTAGGGAAGCGCTCATGGACAAAGTTTTGCCCCAACTCGCTTTGGCTCCCATCGACTTACATTGAAAAGTAAACTCCTCCTACAAAGTAAACTCCTCCTACATTGAAAAGTTTACTTTTCGAGTTGGGGCAAAACTTTGTCCATGAGCGCCATTTAGTTTAGAGCATCATCCATATTCAAATGTTTGAAATAAAAATACATAACTGTCAGAGACACAAGATGTTTAAGTCCCATCAACTTGCCCAATGTTTTTACATGGCCAAGTACAAACCTCTATTAAAAGAGCATTAATTTTACAAGAGGTATATTATTTTTCCACCTTAATCCACCATTGCCCCATTCAAATACACATTATTCTTTCACATCTGTAACCCCGCTGATTCCTCCCACAGCAGTTATATTTAGTTGTGCTTACAGATTGTCCTGTTCAGAAGTCAGGGCCGGTTCCGTAGCCCTAATGCTCCTCGCAGTCACGTACACCGCTGTATAATTCAAAAGCACCTGTGTCTGTGTGAGAACAGCTGCTGCTATTATTGTGGACTCACTGTAGTTCCAGGTCGTTCTGTTCCTGCGGCAGAAACTTGTAGAGCGCGACGTAAGTGTGAATGGACTGGACATCAATGCACTTTGGAACCTGCAAACCAGACGAGAAGGACAAACTTGTGAAAACATGTCCTCTGAATGATACACAATAATAAATACCACTGTGTATTTACCAGGTGCTATGCCTCTTAACTAAAGTGTATTTTCTTACATGTGTGGCTGCTGTGCAAAATGTTCTTTTAAATCCATTTTAAGTTGCTTGGGGGTCACAAAGGCAATCACGAGGGTTACTTGAAATCTAACAATGCTTGCACTAATTTAATTACACAATCTTCTATTCATCAGTTTGCCTTTGCTGTGATTAGCAAACACAGAGTACCATTAGAACACTGATAGTTGGTTGATTAACACTGTTGAAACTAGGACACAGACCATCCTGAAGTTTAAGTCAAATTTCCATCTTTATTTATTGTACTTGATTTTGGTAAAGAAGAAACAAAACACCAAATAAACAGAAAACACACTTTAAAGAGGGGTTTAGTTCAAAATAAGGACATTCAAAATGACCTCCAAACAGATTGGCTTTTGGTTTGCGTTTGTGGTATAGGCGTTTCATTAATATCAACCATTATTAATAACTGAAATAAGTCATTTATACATCAGTTCTACATTATATAAAACTGAAACTGTATATGTCCCTTTTGTGCAAAAGAGTAAATGGAGTTGATCAAAGTCCAGTCCACCTCCAGCTCAGCAGGAGGCTTCAGGTGTTTTATTTATAGACTCTGAACAAGACAAAGCCAGGACTGTGTAAATGACACAGGTCTAAGGGTGCAGTCCACTTTCAGCCACACTGTCTTTTTTGTCTCTGAGGAGGTTCTGATGGGCGGTAAGGAAGACATAACAATAGTGATGGTTTTGTAATACAACTTCATGTTTGTCTGCATAAAACATTTTAACAATCAACTTTGGTGAATTAAAATGTCCCTGGTTTCTTATATTTCTGAATAGCTGAATTAAACCCTTACCCTCACCTATTCTTGCTTCGTTCCTCTAAAACAACAAGTTGAAGCCCTGCGGTTTTGGCCTCTGATGACTCAAAGTCGCCTATAAATAGTTATTTTTGGAAAATATCATGGAGGGCTAGAGTTTGGGGGTTGGGTCTAACAGAGAGACAAACTGTTGAGTTTGGACAATTCCCTTCCTTCAGCTGTAAACAAGATCCAAGCAAACACCTTTGTGGATTTATTTATTTGAAGGCTGCAGTTTATTTTCTGAATTGTCGGATGAAACTGGTGGTAAGTAGCTGGTAAAGACAAACGCCTCGCTCTGTAAATAATAAGTCATTTGTTGAAACAAACCTTCAGACTGATTTCCTCCGCAGGGGTCTGGTTCAACGCGTCACTGGACTCTTCCTCTGTCTCTATCTCAATGTCAGGCACCGGGATGGCTGTATAAATGAACAGAAATTCTCCTTACGTGAGCCCTGGCTGCACACTGTAGCCAATCATGTCATGCAAAAAGCAATTCCAGATAGCAAAGAAAAAAAATCTGTGTTGGCATACCTGCTGTTTCTGTTGGCATTTCTTCCTCCATGCTGTACTGTCTTTCCATTTCGCCTCCTCCTTCTCCCTATGAAAAAATCATATAATAATGTTTGTGTCGATCAGGTAAATCAATATATCTACATCATTCATGGGAATCAAAGTCAAAGTAAAACGTCATTTTGTAATTAACAATTATTTTGAAAATCACTTTGTTGACCAACTATCGCTTATGTGATGTCCTGGGCGAACACCATGACTTTTGAGTTAAAAAACATTTTTTAAATTTCATTCTGCAGTCATTATATAATTTTCTGAGCCATAAAACCCCTTTTCAGTACGTTTAAGTATGGTTCAATAACAATGAGTTAATTATTTATTAATCTCAAAGGTTTTAGATTGACTAATTTGATATTTCAAAAACCGATTAGTTACAGCCCTAGACCATTGGCGTAGCAATAAAGACATGTGTAATATGTACATGTGTAATCGTGGCACCACCTGCATATGAAAAGCAGATGGGAGACCCGTGGGAACACCAGGAGTCACAGTGGGGCAGCTGCAGCAGCAAAGTGCTAAACTGTCGTTGTGTTCTTAAGCAAGGCACTTCATTCACATTGACTAGAATGCGTCTGGTGTGAGCGTGAATGATTCGTGGTGGTCAAAAGGTCCCATTGTCTGCCTGGGGCAGCTGTGGCGACAGTAGTAACTTATTACCACCGAATACTGAGTGAATGAAAGCACTATGCTTTACATGACAGAATGACACATCCCTCTCCCAAATATGTGGTCATGTCTGGAATTGCATCCAAAAATCAATACGGTTGGTGTCTCCTGCTGCTTTTGCTATGTCATGCGAGTTCATTTATTGAGTTTAGGATCAAATGTCAATAACTTTCTATTTGTAGCAACATGTGGAGATGGCAAAACATGAGCAAAAGGGAGTTTTAGTTCTGTAATATGTAATATATCACAGGCTCACGGAAATGGGTTTAAACGTGTTGAAAAGTTAACACGTTTAAATAATAATAATCAAAGTAAATTTTCAAAGTAAAATTTGATTACATCCTTTTACTGGTCCAGAGATATGTCATTATAGGCATCCATTTTTAGAGAGCCTCTTTAGAAAAACTGGACTTTTAGAATGATTATGTTAATCTCTTAATCTTTTTTATATGTATGACTTGTATGTATGTCCAAGATTAAAAATAGATTTTCATAATTCAGACAAAGAAATTACCTAATAGAACATGGAAAATCAATCATTATAAATCACTGAATCATTGCATTCTCTTGCCCCAGTGATGTTATCTCTTTTTTCTTTTACATATAAAAAGTTCCATCACACTGACACCATGTATTGCAGATACTCAATGTCAGTGTCATGTAAGGAATAGGTCTTTAAGTGACTTCAAACTCGTCGTTTTACAGTCAGTGTGGGCTGCAGTATGATCTGTAAATGCAGGACCCCTACTGTGAAATAATTAGACCATAACATAGTGCTTTAGTCACTTAATGATGACATAAATTGCTTATATGACGCATACGAGGCTAATTTTCAGGGGCTAAAACTCTCTTCTAAATTAGCCTGCTCACAAACCACACACCGCAGAATTTTAATATGGCTGTTGGGGTATTTATAAGGTAGATGATGGAGGAGAGCTCTCACCAGGCTGCGTGTGGGAGACTCAGACAAACTTCCAAAACTGGAGCGACTCATCTGGGCCAGAGACGTGCCGTAGCGCAAAGCGGCGTAGATGGGATCCACACGGGACCGGTGGTTTTCTGCAGCAGAACACACCGTTACGTGAGACGACTTTCACTTACATAGACTTCTCCCATGTCCGGGTTCAACTAAAAACAGCCTCAACACGATTGCCACATGAGTTATTAATGTTTTTAGGCAATAGTAGTTACTTACACACGTGATTCAAAGTTCTGATCAATGACAAATGTAGTACTTTCACAACACAACACATACAAAGCTGAATAATCACTCTTTTATCAACAATTTAAGTCATTCATTTTAGTATTGGTACTGAACAGGATAGGTTTAATGTCATACTGTACAATGTATTATGATATTATAGCCAAAGGAGGCCATACTTGAGGCTGGTCAATCAAAACAACAAACCCTTGCCCAAAAAATACCCAAGTTTATGTCAATCCTTAAGGCTCAAAAGCTAAAAAAAGAGGCTGCTCTCACATATTCAGAAAAGCTTAAATATGAAACACAGCCTCCCCAAGTTTAGTCCTGGCTCTGGGCACCAGCAGGAGGCCAGCTTCCGCACTGATTTGCGATGATTGTATTTTTTAGTACTCGCTTCCCTCTGTAGACTTGAGGAGCAGTTTCTTTTGACCCAAGAATCAATCACGAGCATCAGAATCCGAGCTCTCCCAGTTTGAGTATACAGCAAGCCACTAATATTTATATGATAACACTTTATAACTAAAGTGTGCATTAACGATGACTGGACTTGTTCCAATCTAAAGTCGTCTAAATATAACCACCACAGTCAGACTCGGACCAACGCGACCCACTTTACGATCCAGAGAGGAGAGGGCCGCAGCCCAAAACATTAAGAAGACATCAACGCATCGCAATAATTCATATTCTTTGATATATTTAGATTTTTACACACTGGCATGGCTTGTGACTCGGGCCCACTAGCCTAGTTGTGCAGGAGAAAAAAGGGAATGAGAAATGAGGCTTAAAATATGGAAATCTTTGTGGTGCATTCAGGGTTTTAAGTAGAATATGGCAGTGTTTGAAGTTATCATAGGATTTTACAGCGTCGCAAAGGACATTTTAGAACTACGGTCTATCAAAAAGAGAAGCAAAAAGATGGGTCCTTAGGGTCAGGAGAGAAGTATGGTAGAGAGAGATAGAGGGGGAAGAAGATTAAGATATTTATAGAGAGAATATGACATTATTAAAACACAGAAACCTGTTTGAGGAGAAGACATTGTGCTGCTGTAGTGTTAGAATCTGAGGTCGAGTCTTCTGCCGGATCTATATGAAACTAAACCGTAGCTCATCAATATATATTTACTACATCTGAAATCAAAATTCTGAGTTAAAACAATGTTATACAAAATAGTCTTTGGGGTGTGCAAACAAATATCTATTTTTGGATTACTCTTGATATTTTCAAATGAGATATAATAATAATTTAGGTACGTACATTTACCACAAATTTTTAAAAAGTTTCATTCAGATTTTATTTTTGAATTATTTTGTCCACTAACTTGCTCTGGTTCCTATTGACTCCACTGTGAGACCAATAAAGTTTATCTTATCTTATCTTATTGAAACGAAAACTCCTCTCGCTCTAACGATTTGTGTTACACCCACTCATTTTGGGCTTAAAGAAAGCTGTGGTTTAGTGCTCTCTCTGATCTTGGTGTTAATGTATTTCATTTTTATATGTCTTTGTAAATCCACATAAGGATGTAAGGATTGACCAATCAGATTCTTTCATTCGGGGCAATTTAGCAACTATGCGAGCCCCAGGGAAAAGGGAAATTGACTTCAAATCTGCATCTTCCGCATTAAGGCTAACACTAGGCTAGCACTGGGTCAGTTCTCTCCTAATATACGGTCTATAAATTTGACGTTTAACCATGGACTGAATAAGTAATCAGTCCATAATAAAAAAAGTTATGGATGGACTTTTCCTCTTGGCGGAGTTCTGCCCTCTACGCGTGCTATTCTAATCTAATCTGCAATCTGTGTTATCATTAAAGCACTGTCTCTATTTAATATGCGCTGATAACTGGAAAGTATTTATTTAAAGCAACTATGGGGAAAGCTACTGTAAGAGATTTTTGTTGTTCTCATTTAGTATTTTCAGTGGGACTTTCTCTTTTTAAAATGAGATTCGGAAACGGCCGTCATGCTCGGATAAACAAAACCTCATTTAGGACAATGCCTGCTCGGAAATTACAGGCTACACGGTCGATCTAAAATTATTATACTCTGGAAACAAGATTAGCCAATTCAACCGCATCCGCTTTACTCCAGTGTATGTTTCGATAAGTGTATGTTTTATATTATATTTGTCCAAGATTGTACTATGAATGCCCCCTGACCTTGGAATAAATCCAATTGCACATGAAGGATGTGTATATATATATATGTATGTATGTATGTATGTATGTATGTATGTATGTATGTATGTATGTATGTATGTATGAATATATATATATATATCCATCCATCCATTTTCTTCCCCTTAATCCATTTCTGGGTCGGGGGGGGTGGCCAGAGATGCCACCCAGTACACATGGCACCAGCCCCTCACTGATCCTCCTGCAGGTGGTGAGTCCACAGGAGCTGAGATCTTTCAGTGGGGGCTTCAGGCAAAGTGGGGTTAAGTGTCTTGCCCAAGGACACAACGACAGCAGTCATCAGTGGGAGTCGTGAAGTAGGTCTTACGGTGGGCTCGAACCCACAACCTTCAGGCTCAAAGGCCAATGCTCTACCAACTGAGCTACTGTCGCCCCATATATATATATATATATATATATATATATATATATATATATATATATATGTATGTATATACATCCTTTTAAAGTGTATATATACACTTTAAAACATGTCACTGTGACAGGTCCACATGTCATTAGTGTGAAGTGAAGGGTAATTAAAATGTCCACCCACAGAATTGAAGGAGCATACAAAAGATGAATACGTATATATATATATATATATATATATATATATATATATATATATATATATATATATATATGTCTACAGTCTTCAAAAGGTTCATATTGCTCTGTAACATGTTAGAACAAGGGCTGCATGATATTGACAAAATATGTAATAACAAAACTTTTTTTGCTTTCAGTGTGGAAAAACATTTATATTTGAGAAGAGATCAGACTGATTTGATTGTAGTAAAATTGTGATTTTGTTTTGATTGATTGATTTTATATCCATAATTACTACTTAAACCATCAATGATGATATGACTGTATTTCTGTAAATGGGCCTAAGACAAATTGACCTACATTTCACAACCACAATAAAGTATAAATCACAACAGGAGTGATCTCGGAGGACTTAAAAAAGTTGTCGATTGGCCAAGACAGTTAAAACACAGGACATGCAATGATACAAATACACATAGGAGCCATTGGTAAATTAGGGGAGGATGACCATAAATGTTAATAAATGTCTATAAATGACATTAAATGGGATTTAAATGTTTACTGTACATTTGTGTTTACATTTAAAGACCTACTCTTCCATCATCAAAGTTTGGGGTTTTATGCAAAGACTTACCTTGAACCACATCTGCAGTAAAAAGTATAGTCTTATTCATTTTTTAACTCAAACTTAAAACAAAGAAATATCCAAATATTCAGCCTCAAGTGTCGGTTTCCTCTTGTTGATTTTTTCTGATTCCTTTTTACATGATTCTCAAAGGAGAAACTACTTACTTTGTGGAAGCGGCTGTACTTCCGGCTGCTCCTCCTCTTTGTGATTCTCCACTTCTTGCTTTACAGTCGGCAGTCGAGGTGAGGACATTTCTGTGTTTATTGTGACACATTCAAACAGAAAATTAGTACATCAATAAATAAAAACAGTAAACTCCTTCATTCCGTGAGCCGTGTGGACTCTAACCTTGAACATGCACCTCCTTGACCACTGCCAGCTGGTCGTTGATGATCATTGGAGAGCTGAAGTTTCGCTTGAATGCACCGGACTAATGGAGAGAAGAGGAGAAAAAAGTCAATATGGTAATTTTCATGTATCATTATAAAGATTGTAACTTTTTATACAAGACTAAAAAGACAATATTAGCACCACAATAGCTAAACAAATACATATTGTATAGGATCAAAATTAACTGTGGACACATATTGATCACCAGCAACTGTTAAATGTCTATTATATGTGTACTTATAAAGGCATGCATAAACATCTTATACAATTTCTACTATTATCTATTTTATAATTTGTATGTACTTGTTTGCACCATGAGACAAAGCAAATCCCTAGTTTGTGACTTCCTGATACTTACAGTGGCAATACAAATAATTTGGATTATGAGAGGAATGGACTTAAGTTTATGGAATATTATAAAATCCCTCTTCGCACTTGTTGGACTGGTCTGATTCTGGTTCATATGGGGCAAAAAGGCAGTATTTGTGGATGCAAAACCACCAGACAAGTGAACATGTGTCCACTAGTCACTTAAGTAAGTTTATATGTTTCAAACAGACCATATTTTTCCCCAAGTGGACCAGACTCATTCCAGCTAAAACGAAGCAGACCAACAAGAGTAAACGTACCCTTAAGTTCAGTATTCTGCGTCAGCTTTACAAACAAAGTCAATGTAAACTTCAGAGTGTTTGAGGTCCAGGTCCATGCTGCTAAAGTTAAACAATGCTGAAATATCTTAGTCTGGTAAAGGACGATGCCCTTTCTGTGGTGAGCACACAGAAAGTAAATAATGTGTATTAAAGCTGTACTAACTGACTTTATTTATGTATTCATTACGAAAATGCTATCCATGTCCATGCAGTGCATTGGGATATACGTCCTTTTTTTGAAGAAAAAGTAGTGCAGATTTGTGCTGGCGTGACATTATATTTTAGATCGAGTTTTGATGAAACAAGGAAGAGAATGTGTTTCGGTTTCTGATTGTGACCAATCACAGCGCACCACTGTCCCCCACTTTCGTGAGAAATCTACAGGTCCGTTAGCATAGACGGCTGAGTTAGCACAACAAGCGGCAGAGCTAACCTGAAGCTTCCTTGTCTTGGTCACCGGTTACTGCTTACACAGCGAGACAGCCATCCAAAAGAAAGTCCCGTTCCTCCGCGCTTCCCGGTTCTATCGTTCTATGGTCACGCCATCCACGTGCAAATCCATATTCATATATTATCCATATTGGGAGACGCTAGCTCCGTCAACAACAGTGGGTGTGTGTGGGGGGCGATAGCTTCGTGGGTGGGGGGAGGGGAGCAGAAAGAGAGAGGCCAGCGAGTCCGCGGCTTCAAAATCCCAAAGTCAGTTAGTGCAGCTTTAATATGGGGTTTTTTACAGTCATCATAATCTGAGATACACACAAAGTACCTTAACCTTACCCTATGATTCATCTGCTTATTTTAGCACAATAGGCTCATATTGCAATAAATATTTACACACTGAGAACCCTTTGTTAGGGTTAGGACATGGGAGGCATCAAAGAGTTTTGACCAAGGGCGTAGGTTTGCGTGGGGACCATGGGGACATGTCCCCACCAATATTTGGTGAGGACTAAAAAGTCCCCACCAAAATGACATGATGTCCCGGGACCCGGACGGTCCGGGACACATGTCTTCCGTTTGTGCATACGTCGCGCCTCCTCCTCGCCTCCAGAGCAACAGCAGCAGCAGCAGCACGTGACCCATTCCGTTCTCTGCAGTGATTGGCTGTCTTCTTCAGCGCCAAACTGAAGCACTGAGCAACTGTTTAATTTTTTAAAGTTAGCCAGCGTGAAGCAAGTGTTTTATTTCGTTCCCTGAGCGTTGTAGCACGTGAGTAATCAGAGGAAAGTACTGTAGATCTATTACCATTCAAAGTACTTACGTTATTTCTAATCTGTCAGTGCACTGTTTAATGTCCCGAGGAGCTCACACGGCACAGAGACAGAACAGAACTGGCTCCAATAAAGAAACAGGTTGGTTGAAAGGCTGAAAAAATACTTATTGTGCTCTTACTATCCAAAATGTATGAGTGGGTGTGTTGTGTGAATCAGGATAAACTAGGGATAAAAATATTCCACGGATCCACGATTTACAACCTTTATCTGCTGATAATGTGATTTCTGTGAAATGTGTGACAGCGGGCACTTGCTGTGATTTGCTCTAAGCACATTCAAGCGATGCACTCGAATGTGCACGTCCTGGTGCAGCTGCTGCCGCTTTGTAATGACAGCCACGGCGCTCAGTGAAAGCACAGCTCTAACATGGTACCGAGCTCGGACCATATGCAGACAGAACCATGTTGCAAGTGCGGGTCTCCCTCGTATCTTCCCCGTTTCTCCCCTGTGTCTCTGACATGTCTCTCCCCTGACTCTTCCCAAAGCGCAACCAGCGCTCCCGAAATTAAAGCTCGGATACGTAAATTTTCCATTGCGTTAACGATGCATGCTGGTTGTGCGCAAAACACACCACAACAGGTCATTTAAGTTTTTATTTTGCATACTTGAGAGCCCTGTGAGTCATTACTTGCCTTTTTGGGTAGAGAGTGGAATAAAAAAAAAGAAAATATAGAAAAATCCACACTGTTACTTATTGCCAAACTCTTGTTAACTCATTGTATTGAGAAATACTATGTAACTTTTGACATTGGCCAAGTTATATAAATTATTCTGCAGTTCATGTATATGAATGTCTGTTTTTGATTGTCTATACCTTCTTATATAATTTAGAAAAAATGCCACCTCCACAAAAAAAGATAAAAGATATCAGGAGCTTTTTTAACAGTTGGAAAGTAAGTAATAGAAAGCACAAGTAATAGCAAATTATGAATTGTGATGATTAATCTTCTGTTAACATACATAGGAAACTCAACCAACAAGAGAGAACAATATAGGGAATGTTGAGGTAGAAGCAACAGGCCCTTCAGTGCATCAGGTGAGGTTGGAATTTTGTAGGTATGCATGGGACTATGAATTGTTTTTAGAGATTGATCGTATATGTCAAACAATGTAGTGAGATACTCACTGTAGATTCTAATTCAATATTTTCTCCTCTGTTTTTATTTATTATAGGAAATTGAAAGATCAGAGCATGATTTATTTCAAGTATTGAGAGCAGTTCCTGAACTGTTAGAGCCTCAGGTGAGGGCTATTATGTAGATTTGGATTAGGTTTAAGTCAGTATAGAATGAACGCAACACAAAACTCAGAAGCTCTGATCCAATTGATTTTGTTTTAACTATTAGAAAAAATCCTTAACTCATTCAGTCTACAGCTGAGTTTAGTGTAGAAGGCAACACACTATTGCAAATATAGTGTGTGATTACACAACAAATTCTGGGGGAGAAACTCTGGACCCCGTGTCAATGGGTGTAGACTCAGGTCGTAGTGAATGTCCCCACCAAGATTGGAACCAAACCTACACCATTGGTTTTGACTCCCATTTTTGATTAGGGCAGGCGTTTGTCAATCTGTAATATTTGTCCATTTCTGTGTCAATGAATCAACACTGCGAATTTAATTGATCAAATCCATGGGTCTAGTCTACTTGAAGATGCACAGGATCTAGATGAAAAGCATTAAATCAAAATTGGTGGTTGAACGGTTCTACTGCAATTGAATGCAAATGTAAACCATAGTCTGTAAATATTAAATTATGTTAACGTACCATCTTTGTCTATTTGAAATTTTTATAGTCTATCAGTTTGAGCCTTTTCTCAAATGTTACAGCTCTGAGAACATGACACATCCTGCGGTTTTAATCCTTGCTAACATATTGCTTTGGTTTATTATCGCATAAAGAAGACTATATTGATTCAATTAGGTTTCCTCAGTTTCTCCAGCTCGAGCGGGTTAACATGGCCCACTCTCGGCTCAAACAGCTCTAATCCCAGTAATATATTTGACTTGTTCATTACTATTCAGCTGTGCTCCCTCCTTGCCCACGTGGGAGTCCTTTACAGGTGCCTCGTGCTACATACCAGTAATAAATGACATCTACTGCCCTCCATCTGCTCTCTTTACCCTGATTCACAGAAGCAGACATTTTATCACTCTTTAGGGTTTAGTCCACCATCTTTTTAGCTGATTTTCAAGACAGCAGTTCCAACATTACTGAACAAAGAAGCCCAAAGGAACAACACTACATTGACGAGACTAATTGAGAAGTATTGGAAAAACATGACCACAACAAGCCCTCAGACACGCTCTAGCTTTTTCAGGCGCGGTCCCTGTTGGCGTTTTTTTGCTGGTCGGTGATGGATGTGTGCCAAATTTCTCAGAGCTATTAGGAGTTGAACAAAGGCCGTAATCGCAGCAGACTCCAGTGTCACATGTGCACGGACATGGATTTGCTCTGTCCATGGCCCTGCAATTTCACACCGAGTTAACCACAGCGAGTGTTGGATGGAGATAGCGGCTTCACAGGCGACTAGAGCTGCAGAGTTCGTCCATTAGGTGGTATGGGTGAGTGTGTATCCCTGGATCCGTGAGACAGTGGGGTCCAGGGGCATATAAGTCAGGATGGAAAAGGTGACAAACTGTTGTACACGATAATTAAGGGAACAGTAAAGATTTCCTGTTTTTTAACTATATCTCTGAACATTTAATATGGTACGAAGTGAGTTATGTTTGTGTGTTCATCTCCTACATAGATTTGTATGTCTGACATCCATCCATCCATTCATTTTCTACCCCTTAATCCATCACTGATCCTCCTGCAGGTGGTGAGTCCACAGGAGGATGGCCGCTCTGTCAGTGTTGACCTTGATCTTTCAGCGGGGGATTCAGGCAAAGTGGGGTTAAGTGTCTTGCCCAAGGACACAACGACAGCAGACATCGGTCAGTCGGGAGTCGGTGAAGAATGTCTCATGATTTCTCGAACCCATGAGCTTCAAGGCTCAAAGGCAAATGCTCTACCAACTGAACCACTGTCGCCCTAAGTGTGTTTGTCAGTAAAAAAAAAAATATATATATATCCATGATTGCCACCACCACATGACGTCATAATATGCAAATTAGACAGATACATTCCCTACTCATTTGGGCCGTCGTCATTATTTTACAAATTTACAGAAAGATTCTAGACTATCTATTTTTTTATTCAGAAAATGTTGTGTTTAAAGAAAAAACCCTGTGGCGCTTAGAGGGTTAAGAACATTTAAGATGAAGAGATCCTATATGCTAACCCTTTAGTTGTACCTTCTCCTGAAAGGGCCAATATCGACACTCCCTGCATGCACTCATGCTCCAGCCCGGTGGTATGTGAAATGCGGCATCGACCCCAAGATTATTATTAGGTGCAATAATCCAACTCCTTACTTGACACTTGCACTCGGCTCCCTGTAGAGCAACCTACCTACAAAATGTATACTGTTAATAATAAACCTCCCTGCAATGTTCGCAGTGTGGTATTAAATAACAACAGGCCAAGCTAAGGATTAGATCTGTCTGGAGAGGAAAGGAAGCGCACAGAATATAATACATAACAACAGAAATAGGCCTCTATGCGGACTAAATTTTTTATGTTCCACAGACAATAAGGTAAAGTTACTGGTCAAACCGATGGGTGAGAAAGAAACCCGATTTGAGAGTTTTATACATGGATCCTTTTTGTTTTTTTTCTTTATGACCAGGTATTGCTTTTGTGTTTGAACGAATTGTTTAAAGCACTGCAAATATTCTCATAGTTCTAAATATTTCAGGTTTGTATGTTTCTTCCTGGAGTCTTCTCTTCCCCACACCTTTAAAAAACCAAACACAATCGGGCCCACATTGCACTTAAGCCTCTCTGAGCGTCTTTGAACGTCCCGGATGAATGCTGATGTCCTCTGTGCTAAACTCAAGAGTGAAAACAACAGCTGTGAGGGAAAAGAGGCACAATTTGTTCAAGAGGGCCTCATTTCGACAACTCAACTCAACCCAGACCTAAACATGTGCTACATTTACTGCTCAAGCTCATCATAACAGACTCAATTACTCACTTTTATTGATGTAATTATTGGAGCTCCATCTGCTCCAGTTGGTTTAACAGAATGTGTGTAAAAATGTGTGAAAGCAGTAAAAAATAAAGCAAAAAAGTATGAGAGTAAGACTGAAATTGAGGCATTATCGCTGAAAGTTGTTTGTGTTTGACTCACTGAAGCAGGTACTTCTACGGCTATTTCTACAAGGTCACCGTGAATGATTGTGACGGTATCTTCAATCCGAGAACCGATAATGACATCTGCACAACATGTTCTTGTGGTGCAGATACATTTAGAGGGTGAACAATAAGGATGACAAGACTTAGCCTCGTGGTGTTTTATTGAGTAGTTATGCATACTTGTAGTTATGTATCCCCTGTGCTGTACTCACCGTCACTGGGTAGAGACAAGATCCCTGTTTGTATCTATATACCATTATACACAGAAATAAGGAATAAGTTAAGATTGATGCCAGTTGCATTTGGTGTCTTTTTGGACCAAAGCTCATAGAACCAGACTGCTCCAATCAAACTGAGCCAAAAAGTGAAGTTGTGAAATCTGTGAAATCTGAGTCCAATCGCAGAGTCTCCAGATGCCTGTGGATCAGTTTGTTCTGTAATTATTATGCAGGAGAAATAACTTAAAAAACACAATTGGATCCAAGTTTGAGGGATAGTTTCCTCTATTTTCAATGGTCTCACTGTCGAGTCTTATTCAGTTTTGGCAACTATGAAACCAAACGTATTACGATCATTATTGGACATGAAAAAAGCGAGATCTGTGCAGCTCCTCCCTCTGGTGGTAGCATAGGGACTTACATGCGGATAACATTTTTTTGTCCTAGACTTGTTTTGCCATATTTTTTCTGCTTGGATATTAGTTGACATTTTAAAACATTAAATGACAAAGTAGACATCTAAAAACGCTAAAAAATATCAGTCAAATCATTAACATCACAGGAACAGACCGGCTTGTGAAGAACTCCCTCTACACTCAGGGATTTTCAAGAGAAGATTACTTTATGCCTTTCCTCAGCAGAGTTAACTATTCATAAGTATCACAAGCGATAGGGATCACATTTCACATATATTGGCATGAAGCTCCCAGAAGCCTTTGCTCCCAGTGTCTCAGGTGTGCGTGCTCCTGATTGCACCTGTCTGCTGCTTGTGATGTGGTTATTAATAATGTCTACAGAACGTGGAGGTCAAACTAAACTTGTGGGGCTTTATTCTGCTGCAAAGCGTCATAATAGGAGGCCAGAGGCATTAGCAGAGCAGAGCGTAGACAAGGCCAAACGTCTGCTCGTCTCTGTGCCGTTGGGCTTATTAAAACGGCAACAAACCACACATTATGGCTTCTGACGCTATTGGAGCTCAAATAAAAGAGACATCACTTTGTATCCCCCCATTATCGGAAATTTGCATGCGTTTAAGTGCTGCCAAATCCCCTCAATGGAGATTCGGAAACAGGAAAAATGGCATTTGTGTCATTGCCATTTTGGGTTTGACATTTAAGGTGACGTCAGTGAGGGACTCAAATTGCCAGGAAATGGTCGTTTAGCAGTTTTCTTTGTTAAGAATATGTCTCATTTTAGCTCACAGGTGGATAAAAGGCCTTGGTTTTGCATAATTTTGAATAAGACAAGGAAAACAACATGTGTAAGAGTCGCGTTGAAGTGATTGCTTCTAGTGTACTGGGCCGAGAGGAGTTACACTTGTTTAGGAGAATTAACTATTTATAGATCCCAGGAAGAAGCTGTTACTTTCAGTAGCTAATGGGGATCTGAATAGAACCAAACAAAACAAACTGAACCCGGGACAGACATCTTCACCTCATTTCATTTGTTGTTCTAAAACAAGATTAAGAGATTTTGTCCCACAGAAGAATATGAGGAGCAAAAAAATAATAATTCTCCCAGATTGCCCAGCCTTATCTCATTCTGTTTTAAATAAAATGTTGTGCCCATATGTGCAGGTGAAAGCCTGATCACGTGAGCTCCCCAAAGCCAAGCAGAGCAGGCATTGTTAGTTCTGTGATGGGAGACCTCTGGTAGGTTCTAAAATGGGGCGGCAGAGACTGAAGTGCTAAACAGTTGATATGTTTCTTTGTAAAACCTACCTCCTCTTTCGATTTTGTAATATTATTTGTTTACATCCTTTGGTTTTAACCCACTTTCTTGCAAACACAACAGAACTTATATTTTCCAGTCCTGATATCCTTTGCCTGATATAGAACCTGTACAGCCTAAAAATTCATCTTTGCATTTCAGAAAAGTTGATTTGTAGTTCACGGTGTATGGACTGAGTACCTTGAAGTTTTTGGTCAGCAATATTCTCCACGTTTAGCAATTAAGTCAAATAGAAAAAGTTTCGCACTTCCCCTCATCATCTTTCTCTAATCTACACAAAGAGCACCTGCTGACTTATAACCTATGATACTTTTCCATTTTCTATCTTCCAAGCACACAGTGTACCTTGCCGTAGCAGGGCTGCTGCGAGAGATCGGAGGTGCACCACAGATGAGCCGCCATCTTGCAGGTTTTGCAGCGCAACGCCTGTTTGGAGTTTCCTGTGGCACAGACAGAGAAGGGGTGAGAGAAAGGACACAGCAGGAGACGCATCTGCTCTTCTCAACTATTCACATAAATGAAACAACTATAAAGTCTGGCGCTGCAAGAATTATCTACAGTATACAGCAGTAGTTTATCACCACTGTGTAAGGAGCGAACGAATAATGACATGTGAAGCGTCTTTGTGCGCCGGAGCATAAGGATCATTCAAATGTTTTGTTTTCTAAATAATATTTAGAGATTAATTCTCATAATATTTCAAAATTAATCGCTTAATATCTCAACTTTAAAGTCCAAATATTCTGACTTTAATCTCATAGCGTCTGGCAAAATAAAAGTCGGGTGAGCCTTATGGTCCGTTGTAGGTCCGTGTACTTTTGCGTTCAATACTTTTTAAATTTTTAAAGGGAAATGGAAAATCGAATAAAGGCTATTTTGCATTTTCAGGCACACAGCAACATACAGAAATGACCTTTTTTTTTTTTCATTGCTTAAAAGACATAAATATATTATAATAAACGGATTTGGGAACTAGAAAATCCAATAATTAACCTTTTTTAATGTGTATTTTAAATTTTGGCGTCAATTGATTACACGAAAGAAGTAATCAATTGACGAAGAATGAAAGAAGTTTGTTTACTTCAACCCTATTCGCTCTAATTTTGTATAATTTAATACGCAAATGACCCCCTGTATATGTCCAAACACAGACGTCCTGTGCTAATACTAATCCCGTGAGAATCTGCATGTCAGTGATTGTGATCGCTATAGCTGCTTTCTCTTTACTTTCTGCGTTGTTTCTGTCAATAAGCAGAGGAGTCGCATATCGCGGCTGTGAACACAGCTGTAGAGTCGCGGCTGCTGCAGTCTCTGTGAGGTCTATGGAGAAGTGTAGAGGACAGTGTAATGTGTTCACGGACACAAAATGATCAGACCGATGGGTTGCATTTGTACGTTTACTTTGCACTCTGTCCTAAACGTGTTGCTGCAGCCGTTACTATTTGTCGGCTCCCACTTATCTTAGCAGAGTATGTGGTTCACGAGTAGTCCATACAAACTATTACTAAACATTACAGACAGTATGGGCCAAAGAGCTGTAGAGCAGTAAAATGTTTGTCCTCATGGTCTCTGTGGCTGCTGTGGTCAGACGCCAGACTTTATGAACTGCGTGAAGCGGGGAGACCCGCGCATGTGCGGCCGTTATGAGAGATGACAGTGAAAATAGACGTCCTTCGTGATCATCACACATTATCAGGGGTCCACAGGTAATACTAATCCCGTGCGAGTAAACAAACTTGTTTCACTTCCGGGTAATCGATTGACGCCGAAATGTATTAAATACATAATAAGAAAAGGTTAATTATTGCATTTTCTCGCCCCCAAATCCAGTTATTATAATATATGTATATGTGTTAAAGGCAATGAAAAAAACCAAAATGGTAATTTTTGTATATTGCTGTGTGCCTGAAAATGTAAAATAGTCTTTTTCCGATTTTCCATTTCCCTTCAAAAATAGAAAATGTATTGAACGCAAAAGTACATGGACCGTTGTATCTTTGAGTGTCCAAAAGTGCGCTGTATAAAACCGTTACATTATTATATTTTGAAATTTTGAAATTGAGGCATTATTTGAATCGTAAATCACAAAGAAAAATTGGAAACTCTTAAAGCTGGAGTACTTTTTTCAGAAATAATACATGTGTTAGTCCCAACAGAAGTGGTCTGGTAAAAGTAAAAACTTGTGAATAAATCAAACCATAAAATGGCGTCTTTATCTTTTTCTTACATCGTTCCATTTTTTTTTTTTTTAAGATATACCAGCTTTAAAGGTGCCATAATACACTTTTTGACTCTGCTATTTGACCTCATACACATGCCCAGAGTAGTTTTTTCATTGATTCCCTCAAGCTTTAGTTAGAGAGCAATCTTTCTCTTTCATTCTCAAGAGGCACAGAAACAAGCTGATTCAAATCATGATTGACAGCGGGGAGAAACTGAACCAGCGAATCAGCTCAGTGTATGGTCAGCTGCAGCCTCTCTCCGAGTCCAGCGTATGGTCCATTGACAGTAAATACGCGTGTGTGATTTTTCCCGGGATCTGCCTGGTATCCACGCAAGTCTGAAATCCGCGAATCTAAGAATGCACGTTCTTAGATTCATTTAGCAGATAATATATCATAAAAAATGAGAATGCAGCTGATATCGCCACAGCCTAAATGTCATCTTTAGAACCACTTGAATTTAGCTGCATATTTCCTGGCATGTCCAAACTCATTTCATAACACAAAGTAGCCATTAAGATCATACACACAATTTCACAGTGTCATCCAGCCAACTTCAGGTCTGTCATAGCTAAATATAAAGCTCAGAAAACAGCCTGAATCCAGTCAAAATTGCACAATCTGTGTTGTCGGCCCCTGCACAAGCCTGGTTATCTAAAGTGGCCCTCTAACTAAAACGTTTGGACACCGATGCCCTAAATAATAGGTTTTGAGAGAAAAACTCTTTGTGACCAAGAATAGTTATTTAGGTTCATTGCAAGCTGAGAGAAAATCATGCAAGAAGCTGAAATATATACACACTTTTCCGTCTCTCGTTTCTAATGATTACAACGTATAAGAAAAACACGATGAGCCATAAACTAGCACACAATTGCTCATAGGCTCGTGTGGCTCCTTGACTATAATGCAATATTGATTTAGCAATTTCACTGTCTCTCTTTTCTCCATTATCAGAGACGGTAATGCTTCTAAAAATAAAATTTCTATACTTCGCTTTCAATTTACATCCTAATCATTTTCCTTTGGCTCGGCACCAGGTACGTATGTGAGGAGCCATTTGAAGCTTATATTGTTAATTTCCCTTCAGCGCATTCGCTACTATCTGCTTGTGACCATGACTGCACTGTAAAAAAAAAAAAGTTGAGTCAACTTAAAAAAGTAAAGCAACCAGCTGCGAAGCTTTTTTGAGTTCACTCAACTTTCAAGATATATATTGAGCAAAATTAAAGGAGGAAGTTGGGAACATTTCCTGTTGTGTTTAAATCCCACTTATCTCAATAATTACAAGGGAATACAAATTTTAAAATCAGTCCAACTAAGAATAGTAACTTGACCAACTTGACAATTAAACATTTGCTGGACTTTAAACAAAAAGTTGGTTCAAATATCAATTGTTAATTCATCCAACTCATTCTAGAAAGTTGAAACAAGTACAATGTTAAGTTGGGTGAACTCAACGTTTTGCACCTGGTGGCTTTACTATTTTAAGTTGGGTCAAATACCAATAGTTAATTTCTCAAACTAATTTTAGAGAGTTGAATCAAGTACAATCTTAACTTGTTAACTTAGGTTGAGTTAACTCAAAAAAGCTTCGCAGCTGGTTGCTTTACTATTTTAAGTTGAGTCAATTTTAGAAACTAAGTTCTGAGGATTAACATTTACAATTTAGGCAATTCCTTGTATCAAAGACACATTCCACAGAATGCTGAACAATTTAAATATCAACAGATAAAATTACTACTATGGGTCCCCTTAAAGCATCACAAGAAAAACAAGATTAACATGAGACATTTATTAAACATGTTAATTAAAACTGTCTCCCCAGAGTTTTGATATTGGACTGAAACATGCACGGACCACAGGCTATTTTTAAAAGCACTGTCATACACATCATCAAAAGACAAAAACGAAATTTAGTCTTAGTGTTAGGATTCAGGCAGACAGAGACGGATCGTGGTGTGCCAAACTCTGGAAGTTTATTTACGTTTCTCTCAAGTTCCACTGGTTTACTCTGTTTCCTTCCCTCAGACAGAATAAAGGCAGTACACAGTTTATATAGTCATTGTCACGTCACACATCGAAAGACATACGTGTCACAAAGAGACAGTCACATCATAGTCATAACATGGAGTCCTTGTAGAGTCCTGCACGTAGGCCATATTGCTATCTAATACTAATATTAGTTTCTGTCAAACAAGTGTTAAACATTGTAAAGTACAATCATTTTACAGCAGCAGTGGGTGACCTGAAACTACATTCAATCCCATCAAAATAGAACAATATTTCACAGCTTCAACAATGAAAACGTTCAACATGGCTAAGTGCAATTATTTAACAGCAGCAAGTTCTCATTAAAAAAATATATATGTATAATGTATATAAAAAGACTTTTGAACCACCAGGAAGTTCTGGTACATTTACACGTTAATACATTAACATTTTGTTTTTGAAGGTTTGCACTCTCGCTGAGCATTTGGTATCCAGGCACATGAACAACTTCTGAATCGTTTCGAACGTGTATTTCAGTTCCTTTGGGTACGCCATGTTCAGGGCATACACAAGACCGAACAGGAGTGCAACTGCTGTCGGCAGGTCACTTACTTCATCAATGACTATCTGTTCCTCAAGCACCACAGTAAAGAACCTCGCGTTTGGGATTGAGTCAACAGTCCCAACATCATCCTCAACAATGGTTAACACTCCCATCTTCATGCCACCAACATGATTTTCTCGAGGCTGCATGTCCTGTTTGAAAAAAAGTCAAATTTTAGCACACTAAAAAGTATAACATCAACAGTTAATAAAACAGTATGGTTCTAGTCGTTCGCATGAATATGTCCTTTTTCCTTTTCTCTTTGAAAAAGCTTCAAAAAGTCACTCACAGGGCATGTGTAAAATATGTAATGTTTTGTAATAAACACATGTCATCTTAATCTTATTAACATAGAGACAGCATGTTGAAGTTATATATTTTCCCCCAAAATGTTAATTTAGGTTTCAATAGGGATAAATAACATGTATTTTGGAAACAAAAATATAGGTACTCCAGCTTTAAATAGTAGCCCTCTTGTGACATAATTACAAACAGATTTTGCAAATAAACGTTGGGCCATCAACCCCAATCTCAAATTGGCTACTTGCACAAATCCCATAATACTTTGCGCTCTTGAGGGGGTAGCGCCCATATAGCTCCCATGAAGTTGTGTGGAAACTGATTT